AGCCTCCTTTAAGTAATTCTTAGGGTACTGCACAGCTCCTCCCATTCCCTGTGAAAACCAAAACAGATTCACATATGTTGCTTCTTAACACAAACAGTCATACTGAACATGAGAAAACAATGGAAATGAATGGCACGAATAAAATAAAAATATTCTGACTTTTTCAGGTCAATACTAAAACAGAATAGAGTACCTGAATAGGCTCTCCAAAGAAACCAGCAATTCGATTTGGGACACTCGTAGCAAATGTCTCTTTCAGCTGTCCGATGTATTGATCATTTGCCATGCAATGACCTGTGGGAACAAAGACATTTTTTTGTGACAAACAAGCATGTAAAATGCAGTGTTCCCAAAGCAGTTCTTATCATTTTATTTTCCCATTTTGTTGTATTGCAGAAGGAGCTTAATGCTTAGTCACACAGACAACTGTATTGAGTTAGGCCATTNCCATTGGATTTTAGATTAGATTTTATCTTTTATGGATTTAAAGGTATTGTCATTTTATTAATTGCTCTGACATTAATTTTAACCAAATATCTCCACTTATAACAGCTAACAAATATATATTTACACACAGCAGCAGGGCGTTATAAACTTAAATTGATAACGTACAGCCAGTAAGCGGATGTTTTGTTTTTGTGTAAACAGCCATGTTGAATTATTCCAACGTATTGGTCGTGTTTCAGGAAGGGCTCCTTTTGTTGGTTGAGCCACAGGAAATACTATATAGATAAAATTCCTGAAAATGCTTTAAGGTTAAAAGAGGTAGGAGGAACGATAGAAGGACCTTTGAACCTTATGAACACAAAGGATAAAGACCAAACCTTTCCAAAGTCAGTACTTTCTATGTAATAAATATAAAATATGTGTTTTTTATGTGGCATTTGTTGCCTGCATGAATTTTTTTCCACTCACAATTTTAAAACCAAAACAAAATTAAATGGCACGCAAACTCTGGCATCAACTGTTGTTTATCGCTGTTCATGAATTACAGCACATTCAAAAGGTAAGGTTAATGTTCACGAGGAATATTTGCAAAAGCAGTCGTAATGCTTATCTCACCGTCACAGGTTTCAAGGAAATGAGCAGTGTTAAGTGTGTTGGAGGGTGGGTGTGTTTTTATTACCTTTGGGCACAGCCACATTTTTGTCTGTGGTCTGCACAGGAGAGTCCCTGCAGTGGCTTCCTCCCCATGGACCTCTGAACACATCAGGACACATGGTCTGTTTGTTTGGGCAGAAACCGAGTCAGCAACACTCACTCATTAACGCAGCACAAAGAAATCATCATCAAACTTGGAGTGCTGCCATAGCATTGTAAGCAGAAAAGTCAAAAAGCTGTCATATGACACTGCAATGCATCAATGTATACGTACGTGTGTGCAGCCTGAACTAGTGGCGATGGGGTATTTGTAGGATGAGTTGGAGGTAAGACCCATGGTCTGTTGGGTGCCACCGTGGTATGATCCTCTGGAGGGTTTACACAACAAAATAAAATCAAACTTCACTCAAGATATCAAGCTTTAAAATATTGAGTGATTAAGTGTAACAGCTTATACTCACGAGTAATGTTTTAAAACATTATTACTTATTTTCATGTTGTTATAATGACCTTAAAGTGAGGAGGTCAAAGTTGCCTGTGTGAAGTCGAGCCATCAACATGGCCAGGTCATTGGCTTCTGAGCCGCTGTTGGTCAGATATACAACCTGGACAGTGGAACAAATATTTTATTACCAGCTTACATATTTATCCAGGCTCCTCCACTCTGCTGATCTGGTATAAAAAATCTAATCCACCATGTTACCTTGAGAGGATCCGGTAAGTGGGAGGCTAGTTTCTCACTGTACTCATGGAGAGTAGGATTGACATAGATGTTTGTAGTATGCCACAATTTTTTCAACTGCCTCTGTAGGGCTGCTGCAACTTTCCTGTACCCACAGATGTCCAAGTTAGTGTAACCATGAACAGTGATTTTTGACTGAAATCTGTATTTTAAACTCCAACATTCTATCTATCTGCTATAGAAAGGGACCTTACGGGTGGCAGTGGCCCACACTGACAGTCGCCACACCAGCAAATAGATCCAGATATCGATTCCCGTCAAAATCCCACAGCCACTGCATGTATCCCTGATGGAGGAACACTGGTTTCTTATAGTAGGTTATCTTCATGGTCATGGGGTTGCAGTTCTTCCTGCGGATCTCCATTATCCGCTCTTTGGACATGCCCTGGATGAAAATGAATCACAAGAAAATAGTTAAAGTATAAGAAGATTGTGACCCTTTTTTTTTAGTAGGCTACTTTGGGCAGACCTTCTTCCCCTAAGGTTGTGTCTGTTTTAAGTTTAAGTTTATATAAAATATTGGATCAATTGCAACAACATTTAGTACAAATGTTAAAGGTCCCAAGAAAACAAATCCTGATTATTATATTATAGTTTGTTTATCCCTTGACTTTTCTTGTTTCACGATCCAAATGTTAATTTATTTTCTTATGGCCGATACATATCTTATTAAACCATCTTTGAAAGACACAATACGATTTGATATTTTTAAACGACATTTTCAATTTCAGAATCAGGGCCCCACAGCGCAGACCTTTCCTTGATGCCACAACCCTCTTACCTTGTATTCCTCTGGTTTGAAGTCACATGAGGGCATCTCTGGGAGGTCTGCGGGACGATGTCTGTGGGCTGGTTTCTGACATACTGCGCCTGAGAAAAGTATTTGATTCAAATTCAGAATGAGGTACAGGAGATGTCATTATTTGGTCATGGCTTTACCATGACATTGCCATGATATTGGGGAATGTTTATATGATCTAGATATTGTAGCATGATTCCACTGATGTTGGCAGTGATTCAGAGACCTCCTCCCAGGCTACTTATAATCTACAGATAAAAACACATGTGATGAAAACATGTAAATGAACCTCATTCTGATTTGTCTGGTCAATTGTAACTTAATTTAAAGGATAACCTGGTTGATGGTTTAACCACATTAACTTCAAATTGTGCAACACAGGAATAACTATACTTCCCGTTTTCCATTGTGATATTAAATAGCACTTGAGTGAAGTACAGTATGTACTTTAACAAAATATATTTTTCATTGCTTTTTTTTATTTTTTATTTCACAATATAAAGTCTTGCTTTTGGGCTTATAATACCCCAGCCAATGTTTATCTCTGACTCCTGAGTTTTACACAGACAAAGACTGATTACTTTCACAATTACATTAGCTAAATCATTATTAAATTAACAAGCTGTTATAATTTACCAGAAAATGTGTATTGCCATCTGATATTATACTTTAAGTGGCTGCATACAATTCCTCCTCAACTGGCTATATAATCATTAGAAACAAACCAGGATCAATCATGTTTTATATATCATATTGATCATCATCCCTATGGTAACTCACCCCCTCCCAGGTGAAGTTTGGCCGACGCAGGTGAACAGCAGGACTGTCCTGATAAAACTGCACAACGGCCAGCCAGACGATGTACGACTTTAAACATGTTGAGCAGGTTCAGAGAGAACACAGCAGTCCTTCCCCTCTCAGTGTGTGACACTCAGCAGCCGACTCTTCCTTTTTCTTGAAGGTCGCAAAGATGGGTGGATAGTGCTCAGCCAATGGTACCCTGGTCCCACCTTACTACAATAGTTAATCTGCAACACCACATACATAAATATATAACCACAAGCACCTTGTCACTGTATTTCTGACCGTGTTTACTGATTGGGTGTATTTCAAGATGTGGTGCCAGTTCTTTCCTGTTAGAAGGCAGAGAAGACATTAACCTCATTCCTGTTCTCCTTCCTGCAATACACCCTTTACACAGCAAACATGTTGCAGGAAAAGCACAGTTGAAATAAATAACCTTATTGAAGGCTGCATTCCATTTAAGTAAGCCTTTCTCAGATCCCTCGAACCGTGCATGCTGACTCATCCGATGGAAATTATGATTATCAGAGAATTGAATGCTATGATGTTATATTTAACATATAAATAATAATATTCTGTGAGCCTTTCATGTCAAGAGGCAGTAGATCTCAACACTCAGAAAGATTATCATTCACAAGGTGCCATTTGACCTGACAGTGGGTGACCAGTGATCTGATCATGGATCTATTGTTCTTTGATAGGGTCATGGGTCTCATGACAAAGCATGTCCATCCATTCAGAGAGGATGACTAAGCATGTATTCATTGTAACTGTATAAAAGCTCTCTCTTCAGTTTGAGTGGTTGCACTCGGCTGTGGAGACATTGCTTTCCAGTGTGCCTCTTTTTAAAAGACTCAGAAGTTTTTGAATAGTTAATTTCAAGAATTTACACAACACTCACTGACATGGTTTGCTTGGAAACTTAATTGAAAAGAGCCATGGTAAATGATATTAATCTGTTTTATTTTATCTTACCTTCTTTTGCCCGGGAGATGCTTTTGGTTCAGTTTATCTGTTTGTCAGCAGGATTACAGAAACAAATCTTGCCCTGTTCACCTGAAATGTGGCGAAAAGGTGTAGCCTGGTCCAAGAAAGAACCCATTACATTATGGAGGGGGTAAGGGGGACATACAGGACCTATTTTTCACTTTCATTAAAAGACAAAAAAGACCCCTTCTTTTTTCCAGGAAATTAGTTATTGGATGCCCTGACTCAAGCTTTGGTTTTCAACGTTGGTGTCTAGGTCTAGATTACGTAGTTTAGTTGTATGCTCTTTGAGTAAAAGATTGCATCCTGACCCACCACATTTACATTTCTCACAGAGCATTTTTTTTTGTTGGACTTACTCAACTCTGTAGTTTCCATTTGGGCACTGCAAAGAGACCTGCTTGTTTTTTTACCCAGAACCCAAACAAATAGAATATTTCAGTAGATTACAGGATTAAAAAACTTAAACCGCAGCCCTTTTTCAGTTTCCATACCACACATTGTGGAAGATAGTGAAATCCTATCAAATGAATTCCTGCAGGGGGCGGTGTGACCAATGTGTTATAATGCAAATGGTTCTTCCTTTATTAGTATAACATTCATTTAGAATCATACAACTTTACACCAAAGCATGATTTGCCAGATAAAGTCACTGTACATGATTAGTTTCTCATCTAACTAGTGAGGTATTTTTAAGTGATTAAAGTCTTCAAATTACAACAGTTAAAAAAGTAAAATTTAACAATTGCTATTAAAGAACAATAACAGAGGTAGTTTTACTTAAATGGTTAAAATGATTAATACTGACATATTTTAAACATTTTAAAATATATTAAATTCAGTCCATTCCTGAGAGGGTCTCCAGGTTTGGTCCTTGCCGTTGAGCAATCCAGCCGACCTTTATCTCACTTTCATCTTCTTTCCATGTAGTTGTGAATGGCCTTGTCAAATATTGCCAGAAAGAAATCGGCATCTTCCATTGTGATGCACATCGGGGGTTGGATCCGGAAGATCTTAGGTGGTGAGAAAAACCGGAAACAAAAAACAGGAGATTATAAAACGGGAAATTGTGTCACCAGGTCAGGTGTTTAATTCTGTGTCCCTTATCTAAGGCAGAGCAGGCACTGCAGGCATTTCTGGAACATATCCTATGCCAGCTGCGTTTATGACACATGTAGGCACAGAAAGAATTAACTACTTTAAGGTGAGTGCTGTTACCTGTCCGTAGACTCCTCCTTTCCCTATCAGGATTCCCATTTCCTTGATGTCCTCAAAGATTTCACTCATTGCCTCAGGAGGCAGAGTGTCTCTGCTGGCCTGTGGGCGACAGAGAAGAAATGCCGAAATAAATGAAGATGGATGTGTAACAATAAGTATAGGAATTTAATTTAGGTAAGTAACTATATGGACATTGCGCAACTGCTTATCTCCAATGATTAATACAGCTTGAGGCAAGTTTGATTTAAAGTGGACCTATCATGCTATATTTGAATAATATAGTGTAGGACCATACCTATATAAGGCATATTTATACTTTTTATTTTTCAAAATACCAAACAGATCATGCATTTTAGCCATTCCTCATTTCGCTCAATTTAACACTGTCTTTGCATGGGCTGATTCTGTGAGAACAGCACCATCTACAGGCCTGGCATATGTACTACATCGTCTCCAGCGCTTTCGAATGGCAATGTCCGTGGCTGTCTCCTCCTGATTGGTGGAGTTGGCCCAATAGCCGTAGCGCCACTTCTGTGACGTAATGGAAGTGTTCAAATCTGGATCAGTCTGTATCAGATCCGTTGCGGCCCCTTTTTAAGAGATTTGGGTATGGAGGAAAATAGAGAGGGTTGTGTTTTCTGACACTTGGTGAGTTCCCTGGAACACCGAGGACACATATTCATGTATAAAAGACGTGCAAAAGTGCATTTTGCATGATAGGTCACCTTTAAGACTTTTTTTTAATGCATGTCAGAATGAAATTTAGATCAATTGTAAAATTACATAAATCAATATATGGCCAAGTATTTATTATTTTAAAAAAAATGATCTAGTGAATAGCTGTGCGGTGGAGAGAAGAGTAGAACAGAACTGGGAAATACCTGCAGTCATTTGCTAGTTCTGCATGGCAGTTAAGTCCGTATTTAAGGTTTACTCTCACCTGCCACTGTGTTAGGCTATACCAAATATTTATACAGATTATTTTTTGTTTGGCACTTTTATTGTAAACAATTAAGAATTGTAAACATTTAGTGGTATGAGATTCTAGTAAAATTTGAATATTCATTCAACTTTGATCCTTGCCTATTTCTTAATTTTCAAATGACTCTTCAATACAATATCTGCTATTATCAACAGATAAAATTATTCATAAACGTGCGAGCAGTACATTTACTACAGCTAACATTGTCTCTTTGCAGATGGTCACTGCTACTCCAGCTAATGGTTAACTGGGGCACTGGTGAACCATGCCCCCGGGAGGAACGGAACCTCACACACACACACACACACACACACACACACACACACACACACACACACACACACACACACACACACACACACACACACACACACACACACACACACACACACGTTGTATAAGCATGTGAGGTTAGTTTGACTTCTGTTACAGAATAAATACCTTGTCTTTGACCATTTCCACACCAATCTGCAGGCCTTTTCCACGGACATCACCAATTATCTCATGCTTGTCTCTGAGTTTTGCCAGTTCTGTCATCAGATAGGTTCCAACATCAAGACTGATCTGCTGTGTGCCGTCTTCTTTGATAACCTGTTAAGAAAAAACAATGATAACCTTTGATAACCTGTTAAGTAAAAAAGCAGCTGCACACGCAGCTGCAGTAAAATAATACAGATATACTCTGAAAAAGGACTGATAAACAAAGTGCTTACATCAAGCACTGATGACCCAACAGCACAGGCCACAGGGTTTCCTCCAAAAGTGTTGAAGTGAACCCCCTTGGCAAATGTGGCTGCAATTTCTGTGAAATACATTAATAAAAAAGCTCACACCTACATCTACTTATTTTTGGTCTTGTGAGACCATTATTTCCTATCCTCCAACACACTCTATGCACTCTCTCTCATATCTCACCTGGTGTTGTGACAACAGCTCCCATCGGGAATCCATTACCGATCCCCTTTGCCATTGTAACCATATCAGGAATGACATCATGACCTTGGAAACCCCAGAAGTGGCTTCCTGTTCGCCCAAATCCTGTCTGGACCTGTTGGTGCAAGAAGGTTTATGCATCTTAGGGTTTTAAATGTGTGTCATTATATATTTTTTGAATTATTGAAGCACAATATTTTGTTAGACAAAAACATCTTGTGAAATTTGGAAATGATCAGCTCAATTTCTTTTTTTTCATAACATTTAAAATATTTTGATAACACGATCAGTAAATAATCTACTGGGACACTACTGGAATTAAATTCTCCCAATATTATAATACTGATATTAAAACTGTAGACTTATCTTTATCTGCAACACTGCGGGAATAGCGGATTTTAACAGAATCACTGAACATGCAAGAAAAATATTTTTGTTGGACAGCGAACTCATAAATTAACATGCAAGATAAATTATTCTGTAAAGATAAGTAAAAAAGCTCAATTATTGGCTTGTTGACCCATGAGCAGTTTGTTTTTCACTTTTCTTAAAGCGGCAATCATCAATGTCTATGTTAACAATGGGTCTAATGAATATCAGTAATGTGAAAGGAACCCACGGAGAATTGTCACTTGACTCTGCTGTGCCCCTCAGCTGTACAAAGCGCTTTAGTTTATTTAACTAATTTTGTTAACTTATACGTCTGCAATGTTACTGTTTTGTTCAGTTTCTTCACTCTCATCAACCACATTTCCATCAGCAGGCAGCAGTTTCTAGAGAAAAAGCTCTACAACTTTCTGTAGATTTAGAATCTCTTTGACATGAAATGTGTGTCTCACCTCATCAGCAATGCACACCCCTCCTTTCTCTCTGACAAGTTTGTAAGCGTCCTTCAGGTAATTTTTAGGATACTGCACAGCTCCTCCAACTCCCTATATAAATCAAACACATTCACATCTCACAGTCCCATTCTTAAGTACTCCTCACAGAAAAATAGAAAAACATGAATGACATGCTAACAAACATTGTTTTATTTTGTTCTGATATCAGGGGATTATCCTGTAGATACAATACATTAGACATGCAAAACAAAATTGTCAATACGTTGACTTAAAGATGACATGTCCTGTTATAACACAGAATAGAGTACCTGAATAGGCTCTCCAAAGAAAGCAGCGATTCGACTTGGGACACTAGTGGCAAATGTCTCTTTGAGCTGCCCGATGTATTGATCATTTGCCATGCAATGACCTGTAGGAACAAGGAAATGTTTATTGGATCACACAAAATATACTTGAAAAAAATCATGTTGACTTTATCTCAAACAAATACAGACTGAAAAATAATATATAATAAATATTAACACCTAGGGAATGGGCAGAGCAATTATTCAACAACTGTTCTAAGTTGCTGAATGATAAGTTAAAGCTTACCAAAATCAGATGCAGTGTCAAATCCCAATTTTCTTTTTGAAAATGTGACTCTCTCCATTGGATTTAGATTAGATTTATCTTTTATGGATAAAGGTATGTCATTTATAATTGCTCTGACATTAATTTTAACCAAATTATCTACCACTATAACAGCTAACAAATATATTTTACACACAGCAGCAGGGCGGTTAATAAACTAAATTGATAACGTACAGCAGTAAAGCGGATGTTTGTTTTGTGTAAACAGCCATGTTGATATGCCAACGTATTGGTCGTTTCCAGGAAGGCTCTGTGGTTGAGCCACAGGAATACTATATAGATAAAATTCCTGAAAATGCTTTAAGGTTAAAAGAGGTAGATGAACGATAGAAGGAACCTTTGAACCTTATGAACACAAAGGATAAAGACCAAACACTTTCCAAAGTCCAGTATTCTATGTAATAAATAAAATATGTCGTTTTATGTGGCCATTTTGTGCTGCATGTAATTCCACTCACAATTTTAAAACAAAAACAAATTAAATGGCACGCAAACTCTGGCATCAACTGTTGTTTATCGCTGTGCATGAATACAGCACATTCAAAAAGGTAAGGTTAATGTTCACGAGGAATATTGCAAAAGCAGTCGTAATGCTTAATCTCACCGTCAACAGTTTCAAGGAAATGAGCAGTGTAAGTGTGTTGAGGGTGGGTGTGTTTTTTATACCTTGGGCACAGCCACATTGTCTGGTGGTCTGCACAGGAGAGTCCCTGCAGTGGCTTCCTCCCCGACCTCTGAACACATCAGGACACATGGTCTGTTTGTTTGGGCAGAAACTGAGTCAGCAACACTCACTCATTAACGCAGCACAAATAAATCATCATCAAACTTGGCTGTACTGTCATAAACATGTTGACATGATTAGTTTATCGGTGGAAAAACTATTTGAAAACTGAGTGGAGGTCACAAAGCTGTTTAAGGCCAAATGTTGTGTATGTTCATTATTTCAATTAAGGCAAAGAACAAAAGAGAAGAGAGGCAGTCAAAACATTGAAATGTTTTAGTGGCCACTAATTACATTCATAACCCGGTCTTCTTGAAGATATTTGACTATCACAAACATATGTCAATGTATATCACTATTTTATGACATAAATGATTTTGTGTATCATTAGTTGTAGGTGTTTCTCATGTGGTGCTGACTGTAATATAATAATGCATACGTACAGTTGTGCAGCCTAAACCGTTGGCAATGGGGTATTTATATGCTGCGTTGGAAGTAAGGCCCATGGTTTGTGGGCTGCCACCGTGGTATGAGCCCCTGTAAAGAAAAATGGATAGAAAACATTAAAGACATTTGGATAACAGATAACTTTTCTTTTCACAATTAAGAATCTTGAGTTTATGAGTAAAATTACAAAGTATTGTAAAATAATTACAAATATATTACAAGGATGGTACAAAAAATGTTTAACACAGCCTAGGTATTTTAGTCTTATAGCCTTATAAAAGGAAATGTTACCTAGTCCTAAATAATGACTTTAAAAAAAAAAAAGATAACTAATAGAATCTAAATATTTAAAAACTTGTACCTTAAAGTGATGATGTCAAAGTTGCCGGTGTGAAGTCGAGCCATCAACATGGCCAGGTCATTGGCTTCTGAGCCGCTGTTTGTCAGATATACAACCTGGACAGTGAGACAAAGATCAGCAAACCTTTTCATCACAGAAATGTTTATCCAGAATCCTGCTCTAAGTTGAATTTATTTTTTTTAAATCCACCATGGTACCTTGAGAGGATCCGGTAAGTAGGAGGCAAGTTTCTCACTGTACTCATGGAGAGTAGGATAGGCGTAGATGTTTGTAGTATGCCACAATCTCTTCAACTGCTGCTCTGCTGCTGCCGTCACTTTCCTGTACCCGCAGATGTCAGGAGTCCGATATAAGAATGAAAAATTATTTTTATTAGGAACTGTAGGTATAATAAATCCTGCTCTCACTGTGTGACACAGGAAAGAAAAGGGACCTTACGGGTGGCAGTGGCCCACACTGACAGTCGCCACACCAGCAAATAGATCCAGATATCGCCTCCCGTCCACATCCCACAGCCACTGCATGTATCCCTGGTGGATCAATACTGGTTTCTTATAGTAGGTAACCTTCATGATCATAGGGTTGCAGTTCTGCCTGCGGATCTCCATTATCCGCTCTTTGGACATACCCTGGACAGGGACAAATGCACAGTAAAAAAAATACACGCAATGGCATTACCAGCATGTTCACGTGTATCTAAATTCTATATATTATTACTTAGGTGATCACAAATAATAGGGCCAACTTTAGAGATAATGTATATGTCAGGAGGATATTGCTCTTACCGTGTATTCCTCTGGTTTGAAATTGCATGAGGGCATATCTGGGATGTCTGTGGGAGGGTGTTTGAAGGCTGATTTCTGACATAATGCACCTGTAAAATAAAATTGCTTAAAACGTATACAGTAATGTAAAAGCAACATTTTTCGTTTGGGAAACTACATGAACATAACCTGATCTGCGACATATGAGAGTAATTTGTGAAACATCCTGTCAGTGATATTTAACCCAGACTTCTTTCAACTCTTATATTTATTTCCAATCATTGTCTATAGGAGACAGATGTGCAAATAATTTTAAGGCTGTTCTAGTCTTTAACTATGTATTCAGTATACTGTATAACCTGTCTGACACTCTAACCACATTCAGTTCCCTTTAGACCTCACATTGTGCAACACATAATAAAATCCCTCCTGAAACTCTTAGTTGTAAAATGTGAGATAGAAGGTGCACTGGACTGGTTCAGCGATTATGTAAAGTCTAAAAAGCATGTGCGTAACTATTCCCCCACCCACACAGCCAACAATTGACAAGACATAAAATGACTCAATGTAATGAATGGCATTACCTTTTCCTGCTGCAATTTAATATAATGTAGCCAAGTTACTCACATTATATGTCATCCTATCAAATATAACCTTGTTTAATGGACCTGAGAAGTCCGTTTTATTCACCTAAAAACTGTCTAACACCAATGCCCTCTAAAACAGACCTGCACTTCATTCTATCCTCTTGGATGTTCATTTGTTAGGTTTTAATAGTTTAAGAGAAGTTTTGATTCACCTATACGTTTTTATTGAACTAACAGGTGTTTCTATTATGTTGCATATCGTCGTTGATTTATATGGGGTGGACAAAACAATTAGAACACCTGCCACAAATACAGTAGGCCTACCTCATGTTTCTACAAACTTGGATTCATTACTCAGTACTTAATAAAAAAGCAAATGAGTTATAATGTTACTTTCCGTTACACCACATTGACACTGGTTAAGCAAGACAACTGCGGCTTTATTCACATATTTGGGCTAAAACTGGGCTAATTGTCAAATAAAACCGCCTTTAACCAGTCGGACAAGACTAAAAGTAAGAAGAAAAAAAGTATAAACAACTTCGCGTTTATACATTAATTTCCAATGATAAACAAGTTCAGACAGACCATAATAACCAACTAGCTCTGGATTTTATTCGTCTCCATGGAAACTCACCACTTGCCAAGTGGAATTTGACCGAAGCTTGTCCTGTTAGAAGTGCACAGCGGCCACTGAGAGAGGAAGCAGCTTTAAGCATTTTTGAGCAGGTACAGAGGGCTGCAGGCCTGCAGCTATGATACTCCGTCACCGTCTGACACTCAGCTGCACGCGGACCTCAAGATTTTCTGCACCGAAAAAGTTTCCGGTGGGCTGTCAGTAGACCTGTCCAGATAACTGTAGCATGGCCCCTCTTACACGTCACTGGATGCGTGCGCACGAATACAGGTCGCATTTGTAAACTGTGTTAAATTATATCAGTTTATTATTTTTACTTTACTTAAATATTTTCATGTTGTGCTATTTTGTACCTCTACTCTTTTACAAGTTGCAAAAATATTGTACTGAAATTATGTGATAGTTTATACTTTGCAGATTGAGAATATGAATAGGGTACAAAATATAAACCAACCAATATATTTTGTTAAATTATAATACAATAAGCTACCCAGCCGTATATACAACATAGCTACTTAAAATGTTTCCCACCTTTATCAGGTGAAACATTGAAGTAATTAACAGTATATCATACCTACCTGTATATAAGTGTAGACAATTATTTAAAAAATTGGCCAATCTGCATAATGAGTCCTTTTACTTTTTGCAAGTTGAGTATATTATGAGGCTAATATTTGTACACTTCTACTTAGATATGATTTGTATCTAACTAAAATAGTATTTATGTAGAGCAGTGTTGATGTTCAATCATCTCTTCTCTTTTCTGAGATTTATGTTTTATATGTCCTTGTTCAAATAAATATATAAAGACAAAATTGCGTTTAAACAGTAAACGGTATACACAAACGCAGACTATTTTGATAATCAAAGTAAGTGTTCATGCAAAAATGGCAGTCAATGCTTTATTCATCATCTCAAATTGATTATCTTTAATTTAGTGAAAGATTAATGTTCAAAAATAATCTGTAGATTAAAATGCTCAAATTAAGTACAAGGGCCTTAATTGTTTTTACTTAGCCTATTATCATACTAAAAGGAATGCATGCACCACCACCCTTCCAGGTGTCCCGATGGCAACAAGCCAACACAATACTGCCTAGCTTAGCCTATTATCACAATTCAAGGAATACCTACACCCATACATGCAGGTAAACCAGTTCAACGAGTCACACAATACTGTCTGGCTAATGATAATAGGCTAATTATCATACTAAAATGGATACATCCAAGTGTCCTAAAACATTTCAGAAATAGTTGTTTCTGCCAGAAGCAAAGAAGAGTTAAATGTATTTTTGTAACTAATTAACTGATAAGATACAAGTAGAGTTTAAAATATAATTTCATACTGCTAATAATGTATTAATTTATTCAATTCTTGTCTTAATTCAAAATCTTAACAGAGGACACATTTAGAGCTTAGTTTTAGTGAATTATCAAAGACATTACATTTATATTAGTGTTTTATTTCTATAATGTGAACATATGGAAGGGCAATGTAAGGTGCACATGCTATTTTGACTACCACACTGACCCAGGTATGTCACATTGCAACAAAGACATAAGCTGCTCAAAATCAAATTGATGAATGTGTTCCACAATAACTAAATATGTACATGTTTTTTGCTTGTTTGAAGATTCGGAAGTTGTGTGAGTGTGGCCAGAGGGCAGGACCTACACACACATGTACTACCCAATAGCATTGTGAGGCTGAACAAAAGTACTTTTTGACTATGTAAATGTAGTCTTTAAAAATGTACTGACTTTTTTAGGATTGCTTAAACATTAAGTGATGTTGTAAAATAACAACCTGGGGCCTTACAGGGTTAAGTGTAAAACAATTTAAGACGTTTCATGTTTATGTAATCCCTTCGTCTCACAGTAGGTGGTGACGTTGAGCAGCCCAGACACCTGGGACGTAGAATACTACCATTAACCAGCGAGAGAAGAAGAACAACAAAAGCAGCCACATATTTTCAGGGCAGGAACACATCATCATCTCCTGTCTCTGGGTTTACAGTTCCTCTAATCCAGAAACATGTAACTGAAACCGAGGAGAGTTTTGCGATCTGAAGGCTTGTGTGGAGTAGTAGCTTGTCAGAAGCAACGCTGTTATTTCCCTGCCCTTGTTTGTGAATACTGCAGCTAAGCTAGCTCGGAGGTTAGCTCTTTTTTAACCTGCTCCAACCCGGGATAATCAGCCGGTTGTTGTCTGTCTTTAGTTACCCAACACCTCTCTCTCAGCCTGCCCGCTGCTGACCATCCGGTAAACTAGGTAAGTCGTTGTTTTAAGTACACATATTTTACATCTGGTGTGCATATGCTGCAGAAGCCTGTGCAGCAGACCTGTGTGTAGGGTAGCTACTGAAACTTAAATCCAGTGTTGATTTGTTTTGGACTCAAACACACATGCACATTTCTATGCCTTTTTGGGAAGATTTTCTTTCAATCAGCTTGGTATGACAGCCCGACACTAACCGGGCAAACATTTGTTTTAATGTCAAGTACTGTAATCTTGAACATTTATCTAACCTATGTAAAGCCTTTTTAATGAATACTCATACATTTCATTTGTATAGCACCTTTGGAAAAGTAAGTAGACACTTAATTTAATCAGATAAAATCAGTAGGAATAATACACTGTATTAATACCTTTTAATACAAAATATAACAAAAAAACATTTCCAACTATTGTTACAAAAAGTTACATTTTAAGAAATAATTTAGATTTTGTTTGTTAAAACCATAAAGACAAGGAACAAGAAAACTCCACCAAAACAATCGTGTTCCTGCAAAAAGCCAAAATCCCTAATGGTATCTGATCTAATGATTTTGATATTATATTGATTTATGAATTTCTGTTGATGTCAAGAAACAGTACATCTGACTTCCTTTTTGTGATGAGTGTTATGTTTGTGCTACTTCTTTCCTAGTGTAGTGATGGGGAGTCTGAGCAGTAGGTTCCAGGTCCCGTCTCCGGGACAAGAGGAGGCTGCTGAGGGAATAAGTACCAGCCACAAGCATGGGTGTGATTGTAAGAAGAGGAAACGAAATGCCCAGTGTGACTGTGACAGTGAACAAGAGGAGGACGATTCCATTTTAGATACACCTCGCAGGCAAGGCTGGTTAAAGACAAATATATATCTGTCTAGATATCTTTAAGTCATCAAAATCTGTCTTACATTTGTTTTAGTCTCTCCTCTGATTGTTTGTTTATTTTCCAAACTCGAGCAGGAAGAAATTGAAAAGCACATCCCGTTACATTTATCAGACTTTGTTTCTGAATGGAGAAAACAGCGACATTCGCATCTGTGCTCTGGGACAGGAGTGGAACCTCCACAAAGTGTATCTCTGCCAGGTAAAAACATCAATACAACACCAGAAAGACAATGACTAATATATCCTTCAATGCATGTTTTCTTTCACTGTCTTTTAATACATTATCTTTTTCTTGTTTCTCTCCCTACTTTTTTGCAATTTGCAGTCAGGGTATTTCTCCAGCATGTTCAGTGGTTCTTGGAAAGAGTCCAACATGATGGAAATCAACTTGGAGATCCCTGATCAGAACATCGACACTGAAGGTAAAAAACCTCAGTCACCTAGAGCTGCTGTCATTTCTGTCTATCTGTTTTACTGATACAACTTTACTGTTTTGTGTGTGTTCAGCTCTACAAGTCGTGTTTGGATCGTTGTACCGGGACGATGTTCTTATCAAGCCCAGCAGAGTTGTCAGTATTCTCGCCGCTGCTTGTATGCTACAGCTGGTCAGTACATTGAATTAAAAGAAACACAAAATTACCATCATGATTGATTGGTTTTGTACATGCGGTCATATGATACAAAATCTGATCAAGTCTCGTGGATTGCTGTTGTCTACAGGATGGCTTGATCCAGCAGTGTGGCGAGACCATGAAGGAAAACATCAGTGCCAAGACTGTGTGTGGCTTCTATGCTTGTGCCAGCATCTATGGCTTGGACTTAGTCATGAAAAAGTCAGATTTTAAATATTTTAAATCACAGTGTTTAATTGGTTAAACTATATTTTATGTGTACTGACATCACACTCTATACCTTTCTACAGGTGTCTTGAGTGGCTTCTAAACAACCTGATGACCCACCAAAATGTTGACCTGATGAAAGAACTTGGGTGTGTTTTCTCAGCTCGCAGTTCTTTAATTTTCACATCATCTATCCTTTCTTTAGGTGTCATTTAACTGGTTTGATAATGAAGGTATCAAATCAAATGTTGTGTTGGATTGATTTTGTTCTGCTTAGTTAAAGGTAGGGGTAGGTAAGTTTGAGAAACCGGCTCGAGATACACTTTTTGTTATATTCCATGGAATGCTCTTAACATCCCGATAGCAATGAATATCTTAAGTGCTTTGACAATAAATCCATAAAAAAATGTCATCTGTGGAAGCCGTAGTACTGTAAAAAGAACGACCAATCATTTTAGCCGGCCCGGCTAAAATAACTGGATGGCCTACCTGCCTGTCAGCCTTCCATCTGTGCACAAACTCATCTCGTGGCCTCATTGGTCATGTGCACATTTGTGTGTGTTGGAGAAGGGGCTCTGTAAGGAAGTGGCAGATTTTCTCCGGTTGTGTATTTTCGAATTCTAGCGCACTCGAGTTGGTTTCTCCAAAATTACCTACCCCACCTTTAAAGTAAAGATTGTCTGTGCCTAATTGAGGACGATCGAATGGCTTCGTTATTATTTTTCCAACCATGATGTAAAAATGAGTGTACGAAACATGTGTGTTTGCATTTACAGGGCAGAGATAATGGAGCAGCTGATCCAGTCCTCGGACCTGTTTGTTATGCAGGTAGAGATGGATGTGTACACTGCTCTGAAAAAGGTACATGAAAACAAGTATAACTCCAAATAAACTCACTACAGCATCAGACCTGCTTCTAAGAGCTGTGTTCATATTTTCTCTCTCTGCAGTGGATGTTTCTGCAGCTCAATCCGTCCTGGGACGGCCCGATCAAGCAGCTTCTGGCTGACGCTGACGCCTGGCTTTGCAAACGCAGGACAGGTACAGAAGTCCACATCTTACAAAAGAGCGACATTCGTGTGGAACTTATTCGTTGGTATCCACACACAGATTGTTGACGCTATGTCTCGTCTTTGTTTTACAGACCTATGTGAGCAAGAACCCTTCCTGAACACAGAAGAGGGTGAATCTTTTTGTTCAGTGTTCAAATATGTCCGTCTCCAGTACATCATCAATGATCTCGCATCTGCACGCATCCTGGAGAGAGACAATATTTTGCCCCCTGGTAAGATATTGCTCCGTCTGACTTAATTTGATCTTGAATGTTCTTCTTTACTCTGGGAAAATACATCTTTCATTTAATGATCTAGTATGACAGCCATTGAATGGTTTGAGTTGATTGAATTTCAGTTTTCATGTGCTTTCTTGTTATTTGACTGATTAGGAAATAAAGCTTAGTTGTGTAGACAAATGTTTTATTTTCATCTTTGTATTTAATTCAATCGCTTAATACTAAGCGGTGTAAAGACTATGATTGACAAACATGCAAATCCTGTAGGAATTGTCTTTTTCCATATGTTAATGCACTGTTAAAATGTTCTTTTCCAGATTGGCTAACGTCAGTGTACAAAAACCAGTGGTTCGCTATGCTCCGGACAGAATTTGACAATGATAATGGGTGAGAACCTGAGACTGAACACTTGTAATATAACCTGTCATTTTCAGCTGCTGCAACATGTGTATATAGCCATGAGAACTGTATGCATTCGAGCGAGTTGAAAAAAACCTCCTGTCTGTCATCAGTCCCCAGGAAGCAAACAAAGATGAGTTTGAGCTGAGCAGCATGAGGTGTGGCAGGAAACTCACTAAAGATGGAGATGTGAGTTGGAACATTTCTGATACATAACCTTTTGCCCCTGTTCAATATATATTTGTTTATTCTTAAATCAAACATACATTTTCTTCTCCTCAGTACTGCTGGCGCTGGACAGGCTTTAACTTTGGTTTTGATCTGCTGGTGACCTACACAAACCGCTTCATAGTCTTCAAAAGAAACACTCTGAGTCAGCCATGTGGGGGCGCTGTGAGTCTGCAGGCTCGAAGGCATCTGGCATTCAGGTGGGGAATATTTATCTAAATGATGAGTACAGCTGTAACTGAGATTATGATTTTATACAAATCTAAGGTATCATTTTTGAGCAAATGTTATTATTAATTACCTCATCATTGTATTCAGATCCTAGTTACTGAAATTGCAAGAGAAGCATGCCTTACTTGTTGTAACACGGCAACATGTGTACAGATGATTTGGAAGTGATAGTAGTGTATTGAAACTCTTACAGTAACAGTTTGACATTTTGGAAAATGATATTATCCTTAGACCTCAACAGACTCCCCTAATGTTTGCAGTCTTTATGCTAAGCTACATTAGCCATCTAATGGTGACCATTCTTTAAGGCTTACAGACATTAAGTGAGTGGTATCAATCTTCTTATCTTACTCACAGCATGAGAGGCTATAAGTGTGTTGTCCAAAATGTCAAGTCCACAAATTTAAAATACCACAATCTTCATTTGTTTAGGTTGCGTCTTGCCTCCTTCGATAGCCGTGGAAAGTTGGTGTGCAGTCGTTCAACAGGATACCAGCTCCTCACGCTTGAGAAAGACCAGGTCAGTGAGGACTATTAACCTGCAGATGTAGATGGATCCTTTGTGTCATTCATTAGCTTGTATTACATGCTCAGTGCTAAATAATCTTCCTTTCCCTTCAATATCTCAGGAGTATGTGGTGATGAACCTGGACAGCCGGTTGTTGACATTCCCCCTTTACGTGTGCTGTAACTTCCTGTATACATCGCCTCATTCTGACCCACGTCCAGACTCCTCAGAACAGGAAAGCTCTACCCGCATCGTGACCTGATGCACGTTCAGCCGCCATTAACTTGCAACTATCCCTTTGGGAACGCTGAGACACTGACACCTGCTTGTACGTACAATCCACTGCCACATTTTCCATCAGCTGTCATTGGACATACCATCTGCATGCTTGTGTTACACAGTGAGATGTATGGGGTACATTTTTCCCATCCGTGTTTTCAGTGTTTAGGCACATTGAGAGTTTGCTTCACATACATGGGGTTTCCAGGGTTATGGAGATAGTGGCCAGGAGGTGTCAGGCCATCTTTGTATTCAGAGCAGCTTCAAACTTTGGACCTCTGCCATGAACTGATAGCACTGGGATGACAGACTACCCCCAAATCACTCATCTTAATGGAACCCCCTTAATTTATCCATGTAGGGGCATTATCATCCTACAATTTGGGAACATCATGAGGGGAAATCTCCAGAGGGTGAAACTGGACCTTAACTGACGTGTGTGGGATGTTTCAGGTGTTGCTCGTATGGACCAATATGTAAATCGATTGTGGTCATAGGTGTGGCACTGCACTCGAAAACTCACCTGTCATTTGTACTGATTTGAATCAAGAACAGACCATGTATGCCAACAGTGTTGTAAACAAGTTATTTCATTTGACTTGTGAATGTTTCCACATTTTAGGAAAATATACTGTACAATATATTAACCAACACTTAAAGCCCGTAAAAAAAAAAGTTAATTAAAGTCTGACACAGCCTCTCTGCAACGGCTGCTGTTGGTTATCATCTGCTAGAGATTATCAGCTGCTAGAGATTTAAGGTCATACCTGCTGGTACATGCACTACAAGATGACCAGTCAAATTAAGGGCATGTGATGACTACACATTTGTTTCCAAAGTAACTGATAGATGCAGGAATTTAAGCCTTTGTTTTTGTCTCTTTCTTACAGCTGGGGGTCCATCTCCCTCAGTCTTAAATTTGACATGTATCTGCATTTCTAATTCAAAACAAAACGCTTTATGTGCGTACATTTAAAAAATACATTATACATTTCAAAACCCGAGCCACTTCTGTTAAGGCTTTCAGATAAGAAGGCCGACCCTCTCTTCTGTAAACTGGAGAAAACATCCTCATCACTCTCAGATTATATACAATAAAAAGTATCCTTGTACTTTGTAAATAACATTGACTGCCATATTCCAATTATTATAAAACATTGAATTAAAGTTATAAACGTAGAGTTGCAAAGCCCACTGATATTAAATACGTACCAAATGTAAACCTGCATTGATACAAATTCAGACTTAATCCTTTATTCTTTTTAATGTGTTTGTGTGTGTTGGCCTTATCTAGAGTTTTTACTTGGATGACCGATCAATGACAAAAAACTTTAAAGATATGTTACTATATAATTTTGATTAGATCACTATTGGTTGGGAAATGTTTGATATATTTTACCTCATGCTGTTTTTGAAAACCTGTAGAACTGACTTGTACTGATTAACTAATTGTGGTCATTTTGACCTGCGTGTATAGTAACTGTCATTGAGTTCAAAGTTAAAGGTGTTTTATTTATTTTTTACTTCATTTGTATGATTTATTTTTTCAAAAGAAAATATGTATACAGTTCTTGACAGCCAATGAAAACTGCCCCCCTGACTTTGGTGCTATCCCATGATTTTTTCCCTAACTAACTAAATGGGTTGTGGGGTTTGCATTATATTTACAGTGTGTTTATTGCTTCTTGAATTGTTCATGTACAAAGTTATATTGCAGTTACCTACAGTGTTGCCTTTCTTGTACCATTTGTATATATGAGACAGTTAATGGATCATTAAAATATATAAGAAAAGCATTACTGGCTTTTATTATTGCCTCAATTCAATAGTTCAACCTCAGCTCATGTTATAATGGAAGTAATGCGGGTCCAAAACAGCTACATCTACGGTACTTTTAATTCATAAAACATATTTCACCATGAGGTCAGAAAATTACAGAACAACTCGACAATAAAATGAAAAAAAAACAAGAGTGAAGGATGAAAGGGCTCACACTAGAGAGATATTTTAGGAATTAAATAGGGCTTAAAGGTTGAATGTAAAGGACATTCAAAACTGATGTAGATCATTTTAATATACTCCATATCTTAAACTGTCATGCTTAACTTGTTGGATATATATTTTTTTTTACACACCACATGCATCATTCTTTCTTTTCTGTTGGCTTCTAATAGGTTACCGTTTGTTAATTACACAGTACAAAAACAAATCTCAGAGTGAGCCGTTTTAAAACTTCACCAACATGTAAAGTCGCAGCCTCTTACACCTGTCAAGACCTGTGTCTTTGCTCCATTTTAAGTCACTCTTTCCACCCTTTATGGTGTTCCAGACATTTATCCTTCGGTTGTAACTGGTCAAACTTGCTGGGTCAACTGACCCTGGGCTCCTGTGTTTGTGTGTAATGCGTCCAGGCTGAGACTTCAGGATGGACTATAGCCACCCATCTTGTTCCTCACTACTCTATAGAGTCCAAATTATCTTTGATTCTCCGGGTCATGCTGGGGATCAGGTTTACGTGGTCGTCAACACAGCTGCCCACACATCTGTCCATCAGGGCTCGAACAGCTGGCTCCTTAGCGCCAGAGTCGAAAAGATCCTTCGCCTTATCGTTGCAGTGCATCGTGCATCGGGACAGGCGGTCCTAAGGGGGCAAAGAAAAGGAATGGTTTAGTCTTGAAACAGGCAAGAGAGAAGCCCCAGTAGTAGGCATGTTTAGAGATTTGGAGGTGAAAATGCAATGAAGCATTTTGGCTCAAACTGGGCTGGAACATTTTTGTTATGATTGATGGTTCTAACAAATGGTGAAAGTTTAGTTACTTATAAAAGACAGGTGACACATTTCTCCAGGTGGGGCTTTTCTTTCTTTTTTATAAATTGGACAAAATGGGGGGTGAGTTATGCTTTTGTTTAGAATCTTTCTTTGTAAAAAAAAAACCGCTGCTTTTATGTTCTTACATGGTTTATACTTCCATCCGTTTATATTGAAAATACCACACACTTAAATGTCCCCTTACCTGAAACTTCTCCAGCTCTGAAGTGACCTGTGCCTGAGCTTTGGCCATAGGAGTGTGACACCTCTCGATGCAGTTATGCACCACAGACATGGAGTCAGTGGAGCGGTCACAGCAGTCTGCACTGCACCTGAACATGCGACCCTGCAGCGAGAACACACACATTTAAAGCGTCATACAGGTGCTTAATAGTAGACAGACAAAGCACTGCATGCACAGTTCAAGTTGTTACAGTTAACACGCCTACCTGCATTACACGGATGTGGTCCCTCTCAAGGCTTTGGACCATGTCTTCCACCACAGCATGCACGCGAGCCTGATGTGCTTCTGCCATCTCTGTTCGTTACTCTAAATATTTACTAAAATGTAAGATTCAGTTAAGCACTTAAAGCACGCAGATCTAAGTCGATGTACACCCGGTGTCCAAGGCAAGTTCCGTTACTCTATAATTTGATGTTAAGGTCACCTCCATTCAAGCATGGTTCAAGATCGGTAGACGATTGCGTCATTTCCGCTTTACTTCCGCAACCGGTTTTAGGGAAAAAAATTCTTCCGTTTTGTGTGGTAGTCTGGTCAGTCAAGAAGTCATACCTCAAAAGTGACTCTTTAACTTTGCAGTAGCTTTTACAATTTGTATTTTATTTGAAAATAAAATAATTGATATTTACAACTGGATTCAAGTACGCATATTATAGTTTATATATTTCGTTCAAAGTGTACGTAATCTTTTATTTTTTTAAAGCTGAATTATAGAATGTTGTGTAAACAATAAGCCTTATATCAACTATTATTTGCAGACCATTGCGATAGAAACTACACACATTCGTTTATATCTCGATGTTATGGCTTTTATTGTGAAACTCTAATGTTAACTTACCCGGAAGTGTGTCTCAACATTAGGATACGTTCAGGGCGCTCAGACATGATTCAACCGTTAAACAACTTTAGTTTTTGACACTTTTTGTCTTATAGTAGCTTTTGTTATTGTTCGGTTTTCCGTTGGCAAGTTTTAACAAGCTTTGAATTTATCTTAAAGTGTCACGTTGAAAGAACTGTCTAAACGCTACTTCTGGTTTCGATGCAAGCTCTTCTGTAACGTTATCGACCTGTGACATAGTGAGTCCAAAGCTTTCAACGCTTTCTATTTACACATATTTTTGAAATATAAAACACACACCATAACGTTATTCTGCACTGCATAATAATTGATGTTTTTATTTCCTGTCTTTGTTAATCTTTGCGTGACTTTTAACAACAGTAACCAGTTTGACCAGACTGATAGAGGGTGTTGCGTTCAGGTTATTAGCAACATCAACTATTCATGGCTCACTTTTATTCCTCCTGTACAGATGCTCCGAGGTGCTGTATAGAACTAGATACCCACAATGAATCCTCAAACCCTGTCACTGAGAGCCCTGCTGTTTCTGGGGCTCTGGCAAACTGGGAGAAGATGTCTAGCATCAGCCCCAGAGCTGAAGATACAACCCCAAAAGATCGGTAAGCCTTTCTCAGAGTGCATTTAAAAACAAAACACATCAATAAAAAAATATAATAAATAATCATGTGCATAAAGATCATGATATGTGCAAATTAAGTTGCTTTCTGATCTCAAACTCAATGATAAGAAATACCATCAACACTTTAATTGCTGACTAGTTGTCCTGGGCATCCTGCAGTGTCTGGTCAAATACATTAGTCTATATAAAACATTTGTCTTATTTATTTATTTTGAATATATATATTTTCATATATCTATAATACTATTTGCTGCTGTAGTGCAGCATTTTAAACATGGCATCTTGAGAGAATATTCTATGTTAGCTGTGTGCATTTTAAGTATCTCAAAGAATAAAAGCAGCATGTCAAATAAAATACACACTCAACATGCACATGGACCTTCAGATTTACCAGTTTTACTAATCAAATGGCCATAAAGAAGGATAATGAAAGAATTAAAGGAAAATGTGTATATTTAAATAAGTGATTACAGCTGATAAATTAATTAAAGTGTGGTCCTTTCCCCTTTAAAGCCGTGGTGGGAGCGGGCATTGGTGGCTCAGCTGCAGCGTTTTACCTGAGGCAGGAGTTTGGACCCGGAGTAAAGATCGATGTGTTTGAACCTGATACTGTTGGAGGACGACTCGCGACAGTGAAGTTTGGAGATCAGGATTATGAGACGGGAGGAGCAGTGATCCATCCTCTCAACCTACACATGAAACACTTCATTGAAAGATTAGGTGACATAACAAGACTCGCCACCAAATTACTGAAACCATAATTTATTCTGGTACATTTTAGTTTACAGAATTGAACCCTCATTTCATTTTCTTGCAGGTATTCCTCCAAGGAAAGATGTCCCCTCTAAGGCGGCAATCTTTGATGGAAAGGAGCTCACTTTTGAAGAGAGTGACTGGTATATAGTAAATGTTTTGCGCATGCTCTGGCGATACGGGTTCAACTTTCTCCGAATGCATATGTGGGTGGAGACCGTTTTGGACAAGTTTATGAGGTGAGGAGGAAAAATAATTAAATCTCATTCCTTTTTAGCATGAGATCCAGGATTATCAAGGCAGATGATGATGTGATTGCTTTTTTTCCTACAGGATCTACCAGTATCAGCAGTATGGTTACTCATTTTCCAGTGTGGATAAACTCCTTCATGCAATGGGTGGAGATGATTTTCTTACCCTGCTGAATCAAACTCTGGAGGAAACGATGATGGCCGAAGGATTTTCGCAGGTCTTTATCAATGAAGTCGTCTCACCCATCACTCGTGTCAACTATGGCCAAAGTGTCCGCCTGAATGGCATTGTGGGTATGTCTTTTAATGCAATAGTTTGATTTGGTTCACATGTCTCAATGTATTTAGTTTAAACAGCTGTTAAATTGGGTATTCCACAATAGCCTAGCTACTGTAGCAAAATGTTTGTTTATGTTAATCCTTTACATACAAGGTTTGGAGGATTTTCATACAATTTGGAAAATACTTGCCCACTTCACAAAATGCCATCCATCTAATCACCCCAGAGATAACGGTTTTTGTATTTCAGACAAACACAAAAACATTTACTTAATTTAGGGCTTTAATTGAATGAAGATCAGAGGAATATGTATATGTAGTCGTAAATGATGAACTCTCAATAGAAATATAATGTACTGTATGTATGTTTTGTCTCCTAGGGGCAGTGTCATTAGCAGGCGTAGATTCAGGCCTGTGGGCAGTGGACGGAGGCAATAAGAGAGTGTGCTCCGGACTGCTCTACATCAGCAGAACTGAGCTCATCACTGCCAAAGTGACCTCCATTTCAATCAAAGTTCGACCATCCAAGTCAGGTATCCTATCATTCACTTTTCTCCCACTGAGGGATTGTTCACTTTGAATATCTCAAGTATTTCATTTTAACTTTTGTTTCCAATTTTTAGGCACCACAACTAATTTCTACGAGGTAAATTATGTTGGAGAATCTGGCTCAGCACACTCTCTGTATGATATCGTCGTTATAGCAACACCGCTTCACCAGGGAAAGTCGGACATCATCTTCTCAGGCTTCTCCCCCTCTCTCCCGTCTCACTACCCCGGACGCTACCACCAGACTGTCTCCACTCTGATCCACGGCAGGTTGAACATGTCCTTCCTCGGGAGCACAAAGAAGGCCTCAGACTTCACTGTGTCTGACATCCTCACCATGGACTCAAAGGACTCCATCATCAACAGCCTGAGCTCTATTGACCCTGTTCAGATCCCAGAGGGGTACATTCGGCCCCCTGCCAGCGTGGCCAAAGTCTGGAAGGTGTTCTCTCCACAGCCGCTGACCCAGGAGCAGCTGCAGGACATGTTCATCACCTGGGACTCATCGTCAGAGACCAGGTGGCTGGCTTATCCTACTTACCGCCCGCCGCAACGTAAGACCCCTCCCTTCATCCTGCACAACCGGCTGTACTACCTGAATGCTGTGGAGTGGGCAGCCAGCGCCATGGAGATGAGCGCCATCTCTGCCAGGAACGTGGCCCTGCTGGCCCACCACCGCTGGCACCAGCAGGAGGGCAGGGTCGACCAGGAAGACCTGCACACACGACTCAGAGGGGAACTCTAAACTAATGGCAATACAAAACCATCATTCAAGCACAGTACAAACCCACACGGACCCTCATTGATGCACATACTGCACTATAAAACCCCCTCTCTATTCAGGGGTGTGGGGCGCTAGGATCCCTTTAAGAGGGAGACACTACAGGTGAACAGGGTAAAAACGAATTTATAATATATATATATATATATATATATGGACATTTTAAGAGCTTTTACTCAGGGAATGTTGGTCATCTCTTTGTATCACTCGATACATCAGAAAACACTGCCATTAAAAAAAAGAAGGCATTACGTTAGGATACAAATCTTTCATAATATTAAATAATTACAAGTTTTCTTATATTTTACGTTTAATAATGTCCACCACGAGGCATTATCTAATGCTAACTTTTGGTAAATTCAGGACAAATCTATAGAAGCAAGTTTAGTCAAATAAACACCTACATTTGTATTTTGAATGTTTTCTTTTCACTAGCCTGAAATAAGACGAAGAGAACAAAAAAAGGTTGCCTGTAGTGTCTCAGCTTTTACCTTAAAGGACAACTTGGGTTAAATACAACCTTGATCTCTCTTGTTCTAGCTTTTGGTCAGTCATTTTTAACAACAAGGGAACAAAAAGAAGACTATATTTAAGAATTTGAAATCATAGTTTGGGTACAGGGGGTTGGTTTGAAACCTGTCTGATATGTATTTGTTTGCCTTTCCTCAGCTACCATCATGAAGGTTGACATTAGATTAAAAAAACGATGGAAATAATCATTTTATGACCCTATCAGTAACCACAGTTCATCATTCCCCTTGAGTCGCACATATCACACTAAAAGTGGGTCAACCTTGTACTGTGCTGAATGTTTGAATCACTGTGAACCACGCTGCACTCCAGGGTAGTAACATGCTCTTAATGGTTCCTCTGTCTACCTGTGTGTCTTAAAACGATTTTTAGATGTATTTTTTTTTAAATGCACTGCTGTTGTTAGGAACACGGTACAGATAACTTCTAGCAAACGAGCTTGTAGGTGCCACATAAACCAAGATGTCCTTGTTTTGATAGATTTGAGTCTCTCTTCTGATTTCTGAGTTCCTCTACCTCCTTAGCAGAACACTGTATGTTGTTAGCAAGAGACCTTTAGTGTGCGCCTGAGACATTGTCTTTGTTGTCCATGTTTTTTTCTTTCTATTTAATTGTACTGATATTTTGTATAAGATCATAATTGGACACTTTAATCATGCAAACAGGGTGTATACATTCAACTAGTATAGATGTGCCTTAAAGATATTAGACTAATTGGCTTATTTGATAATGAAGTTTAAATTGCAATCAAAGTCTAACAACCAGGACCAATTGGAAAGAGTTCTATGTTTTGTTGTGACATGGAAGAAGATGTGTTTTCTGTACCTGTGGTTTATCTGATCTCACTGTGCATACCTGAACTGCTTTAATGTTCTTTAGCCACTTTGGGAAGACAACTGTACTTAGCTAAATGTTTCTTAAGTGTATTTTTCTAGATTTTTGAAAGAAAATAATATTGTTGTGAGTAAATGCCAAGACATACTTTAGCAATTATATAAAATCAGTTAAGGGCAGCATCAAGTTTACACTTAATTCTCTTTTAAATGCCAATACTTCTTCTGCACAAATAAAACAACATTTCAGATTTAATGTCATTTTAAGCAATAGTAGAACCTTATGGACTAAACCGTTTTTTTGTCAAGTGTTTACAATCACAATAAAGAGATCAGACCAATGCTTTTCACTTTTTGTGTTTTTATATTGATAAACATTTTAGTTGTGTCTTTTACTAGAATATCTTACCCAAACTATAGTCTTGTTTACATTTATTTTCCTCTCTTTTGACTTTTAATATCCATTTGTTTCTCCCTATGATCTAAAATCCAGATTTTCCTTTTAATGAATAAAATGCTCTGCAGTTCTTTTGATGACAGATTAGTGACTGAGGAACCAGTAAGAAGCATGTCACAGCTCGTTGCATCCTCTCTTTGATCTGCACTATTAAACGATGAATTGTCTAATTTAATTAGATCATTCATAACATCAGGATGTGCGGTGAAATCACCCATTTTCATTCCCAAATGAACATTGTTCTCAGCTCAAATGCGAGGACTCTCTTTTTTTCTCCTTTGCAGACACAGTGACACCCCAAATAAAGGCCCGCGTGACAGAAGAGCCAACAAAGGGGAGCATTGAAGGCCTGAATAAGGATGTGTCTGTGTTCTGATGTGCCGCCCAGCTGTGCTCTCAGGTAGGGAGGGACAATGGTACCAGAGCCGCCTGTCCATGAAGAACAAACATGTGATGTGACTGAAGATATAAGAGGCTGTGAAGTGACGACAACCCAAAATCTTCCACTACCCCGAGCAACAGCCAAGATGAGGTTTCTAGTGCCACTGTGTGTTTTCCTCGCTGTGTCTGCCTTTCACTCTGGTAAGAAGAATATGTTTACCTACTAATATGAAAACACATGTCTGCTTATTTATGCCAGAAGATGTTCAGTTTTGTTTTTATCAGAAGCCTGACTGAAATACTTGTGATGATTCCTAGCTCTCTCAGCATCTCTGGAATCTGCAGAGAAAGAGAAAGTAGTTGATCCCAACGGTAAATATATCATTGTCAATAGAAAACAGGTTATAGTGATATATTTACTCACATGACTCAAAGCTGATCCCAATGTGTTGTCTTTTCATCCAGATGGGCTAGGTGAACTGCAGAAAATAGGTACAGTGGTCCAATTGAGAACCAGCTGACTGTGAAACTATATGTTTAATGTGTTTTATGTATTGTATTTGCAAGTATGTTTATTAACCCACCTTCCCTGGTGTTCTCAGAGAGAGAATCTTTGTTATACAATAGCGAGTGTTAATTGGACTACTTTTTTTTCTTTATATTAAAAGAAAACAAAACATTAGTCCTCTGAGATTTAGGACAAGTATGACAATCAAATGTCTGTACTACATAAAGTACAAGGTGCATCAAGTGCAAGTAATCTATGAACCCATTACAAGTTGAATATCAAAAATACTTATACGCAATGTGAATGTTAGAAATGTTTCTAAAATCCTTACTTTTGAAAAAGTTAGATTTATTTTGTGAACTCACATTTTAAATATTACCTTTGTAATATAGATCTGGGTTAGGGTTATGTTATTTATGTTTGAACCATAACACTACATTTCATTATTGGTTACACAAACTGCCCATAGGCTTTTTACGCTTTTTTTATTTATCATTTTATAACTCTGTCTCCTCAGATCAGATGGAGTTTGAGGCCGCTCAAAAGGACGAGGCTGCTCAGATGAATGGTACGCTTGACCAAAGTCCAGGGCAATGAACAGAGCCAAAAATGAGCTGACTTCAAAAGCAAATATACCTCTCATCCATTTTGTTGTTTGTAAAACAGTTATTTTCTTTACCATTTCCTGTCCAGTTACCGAGGAACAGAATGAGGAAGCCCGCTACCTTGGTAAGAGGAACTGCTACTCATTAAATAAAAGCAGAAGCTGATTTGTGTAATGAAGAATTTCAATATTTTCTACACAGAGGCTGTTACAGATGAATCTGGTAAGTTAAACTTGGATGTTGAATGTATGATCAAATCTGAACACATATGGATCCTGTTTTAACACTATTTGAAATGTTTCCAACAGTGGAGGAGCCTGTTGGAACTGTAGACGCCAAAACAGGTGTGTAAAAAAACCTCCTAATGATATTTAAAAGATATTATGTGACCTTTATGTACCTTACATGCAACATTACCTAACTGTGAAATACTCCCCCAGCAGAGGGAGGTGGGAACTCTGACGTAGCAGCTCATGAAGGTGAGGGTTTGTTTTAGCCTGTAGATGGTGATAAAGGACAGTTTGGAGAAGCTCTGCAGGCGCTAAAGTTCACTTACATGTAAAATATCACAACCTTGTGTCTGATTCCTCTCCACACAGAGTCCCAGTCTGAGTCCTCTGAGGAAGCAAATGGTGAGATTGAGACATTAGGTTTTTTTACTTAGTTTATTTCAGTCACACATTCAAACTCTAATTCTAGCTTTTGTCAATGACAGATTGTGTCTTTGTTATTTTTGACAGGGAGACAGAGGAGGGGTACGTAATGTTAATCTAAAATACTACAACCAACAGTTATCAGTCAAACAAGCACTACAATACACACTGTGTGTAATCGGCTACTGTGTTGTTTCATAGTAACTCATGTTTCATTCAAATCAGATATTGAAATGTTATAGTTGTTACATCTATTTGTAATTAGTAAGTAAAGATATAACATTAATGTAGTGAAGTAAAAGTACATGCTTTAAGTACCTCAAAATTGTACTTAAGCACAGTACTTGAGTAAATCTACTTAGTTACTTCCCACCTCTGTTTACAATATACAAACAAATCAATTGAATCTTATGTCAAAAAGAATTAAGACAAACTCAAAATGTATCAAGTGCCTGCACACCTTCTTTTATATTTAATAAAACCTAACATTATACATAAATATTCCAACTTTCTACCCCATGTTAACAAAACCTACCCCAATCAAAGTAAATGAAACATTCAATACAAAACATGAACAACTCAGAATAAAAACACCGTCATATCCTATAATTTGTTTTACAATGCCAGATTATTTGTCTTATGTCCATGTTTTAAAATTGTTATTTTTTATGTGCCCCCTTCCGAGATAAAACAACAAGAGAAAGTTTGGCCAAATGGATCTTAAAAAGCATTTTACTATCCCTATATTTTGAACTCAAAGTACATTTTGATGTCTTTACAGAGCATCATGAGGTAGTGCCAGAGACTAAGAGCATTTTGGGTAAGAAGTAAAATGGCCTCACTGACTGAATGATAAATTCCCCACTCTATTACCCCTTGCTGTAACCCTCCATTTTCTAATTTCTCCTCTGCAGATGAAGCCATTCAGGATTCCACCAAGAAAGAACAAGGTTGAAACTTGTAAATGCTACACTAACATCAGAATGCTGAAATGTATCCTTATCTGTTAACTGGTATTATCTGGAGAATGCACCCTTTAACCTTCCACGAGGCTGACTCGTACCTGCTGAGGCAAGATGTGGTCAACTGTTTAAGCAACACAATGAAAGTTAAATGGTAGGTTATATAATAAGAAGAATGTGTAAAAACGAGACCAGTCACAGCCAGTCTCAGCTTGTTTACAGACCTGTATAGGCTCAGGACTTGTAAACACATACATGGCTCAAAAGCAATTACAAATGTTTAACTGGAGAGCTTGTTAAAACTACTTATGTGTTCTAGTTTAATGTAAAAAAACAACGCATTTTCTAGATATTCCAGTCACCGCAGAGGCCTACAAAGGTAAGATGCTGGGGTTGTTTATTTGAATACAGTTCTCCTTGTATGTGATTACATCTAGGACAAGAATCCAGGGCATTCTGAGATGTCCCCTGGTGGTTATTGTGCTTGATTTTCACTTTATTTTTGGGCCAAGGATGCATTGTCCATGTCCTAAAAAGATTGTTTAAAAGTGATGCAGTGTTAAAGGTCGCCTTTCTGATGATTCGGAAAGACACACCTTCATAACCTGGTTTAAAGAGAGAATAGCTTTATGTACCGGCATAACCTTTTCCTGGATAGAATAAGCCTTGCTTTGTTCTGTACAGCAGTATAATGACTCACTGATGCAGTCATCATTCATGTGTACCATGAGAAACACCTAGAGGCCATTTGTGTGACTTCTCTGGGAGCCCTGGAAAACTACTGAGTTGTGGTGTTTGCAATGTAAAGCTAGCGTAAAGGAATCCTCTGTCCCTGCCTCACAGATGTCCTGGAGTGAGAGAGCAGCACGAGGATCCAGACGCTCGCTCATCACCCGGTGCCAGCGCCGCACCGAGCCTACTGCCAATAAAAAAGGGAATTATTCCACCTCTGTATAACTTCTGTCCTCTTTTATTTCACTGTGACAAAATACTTCTGTTCAGTATTTCAGAACTGCCTTTTGGGACCTTTACCTTTTTGTGAGAATAACAATATTTAGTTCAAAAGTAGTACAAAAAAGCAAGTTCAACAGTATCGTTTTCCCATTTTTATTTGTTTTTTTGTCGTCCACAAGTTTGGACTAGTGTATGTTCATGTGCATTAAAAAAACAAAACTTTTTCTTTGGTACCTAAAGGGAAAATCAAAACAATTAAGGCAACTACAGCATCTATAGGTCTGATATGCATTTAGTATCGCAGCCAAATGACCACACACTGATGGCATGCAGCGTATGTCAGCCCTCGTTGTAGAAGAGACCAGATCAGCTCAACACCAAACCACTCAGTTAACATCCAGCTTTAGAGTTCCTGTGTGTCCTCGTTAACCTTATTCACATTCAGAAGGCCAGGAATTAAGATGAACGCTAGAATAACCAAAATAACTCGGCAGGTGCAAACTCCACAGAAGAGCCAACATACTGGGAAGTAGGAGTTACAATGTGAACTGAAAATAACTACGCTGTAGGACACCTAAAGATGATGCATTCAAGTTTCAACAGGAGACTTAAGGTCTTGTTTGAGAGTAGACGTTCAATGACATTCTGCTGTTTTACTTCTCAAATTCAAGTAAATAATATTCAGGCCGTTGTTCCTGCGCATAAGCTCTGATAAAGAACTGGATTGATAACCCATTGAGACTAATGATAAGGGCTTTGCCATTCCATGCCAGAGGCGGGCTGATATAGTGCAGGTGGTCATCCAGTGAGAGTTCATTATTCAGATAAGTGTGCCATAAAACACTGCAAACTCTGAAAGTCGTCACATTTCTACATATGGCGGAAAACACTGTCACTAACCTCTCAGAGTAAACTTTACAGTTTAAAGTCAATATTGTCGTATAACACTAGAGGGGGAGAAGCTAAGGTCCCACAGTTTAGGAGATACAAGAAAGCCAGATGCAAAACATTAATAGTAATAATTACTTGAAATAGGGGAAACGCACACATACACAAAATAACTTGTTTTTCACCTAAAAATACTTTTGCATCTACGTTACTTTCAGCATGTGTTATGACTGGAGAGCTACATCAGCAAAAGGCTTATACTGCATTTCAATTACTCATTACTTTCTAAAAACGTGTAAAACAAAATAAAAAATTGTTGTATATACATAATTGCAAAGTAAAAAAAATAAATGGAAGAATGAGTATTAGAAACAAAAAGTTGAAGCTTTCAGATTAACTCGTTACAGATCGATGAGATGAAAAAGCAAGTCAGAACAAAGAAATGTAATCTTCCCGCTGGAAGTAATGTGGCCCAAATGGAACAAACAGCAAATTCTAGTTTGAAAATGATGCAGCCAAGAACCACAGGCCCAAATCTCAAGTCATTTCAAACATTTGTTTTCCTTCTTTCTTCCAAAGTTGTTGGCTTGAGGTAAGCGATATATTTTGGCCTTCCATCTCGCCTCCTCCTCTCGGTGCGCCGGAGCGGTTTCTTCCTCCTCCCCTGCTCGGGGTGCAGCCGAGGGCTCAGAGGATGCCGTAGATGAAGATGGCCATGATGGCGGCGCTGATCAGACCAGAGATGGGCACCGTCACAAACCACGCCATGAAGATGTTTCTGAACAGACGCCAGTCAACGGCCTTTTTCGAGCGCAGCCATCCTACCGCAACCACAGAGCCCACCTAGAAACACAGCAGAGCTCAGACAAATCCCATCATCTTCATTTAACTCATTATAAAATCATAAATAAAACTGGTTATACTTAATTATCTGTATGCAACTATATTGAAACATTTAAATGATCCTGGCCAGATGATTGCAATTCACAATATTGTCCCAACATTCTTTAAAATGCGCTTAAAACTTTTTTTTTTTTTTAAATGGCAAAAAAAAAAAGGCAAAATATTACAGGAACAAACTAACATTTTGATGCCCCACATATAACACAAGTCCTTTTTGTGAACATTCCTTTTAAAAACAAGGTCATAACAAATCACAAAAATAAAAAAGTACTGCTTCATAAACAAAAGATTGAAATGAATATTTTAAAGCAGTTGGTCACCTCTCAGCCAGGACAGAGATCAAGAAAGCCTTTCTTCTTTTTTTTAACTGAGGATAAAAATAAAATCCTATTTTGTCCCATCACTAGTCTGCAAACCTAAATTGTGAACTACAAAGTTATGAGACAGTTGCTCCACAGACTGGGTTCCTGCTAAGTGTGGCCTCCCTCTCTCTCTCTGAAATAGGCTCCTCCCCCTGTCTCTTGTTCCCAGACCACAGCGTGTGAGCTGCTTACCTTGCAGTGGGTGGTGGAAACAGGCAGGCCAATGTTGGAAGCTACCACCACGGTCAAGGCTGAGGCCAGTTCGATGCTGAAACCACTGCAGGGGAATACAAAAAACAACACTTAAATCTCTCCGGCGGGTTGTGTGTGAGCTAAATTATAGTAATGTCTGAGGAGGATGTGGTTTAATGACTCAAGGAAAAACAGCTCTGTGAATACCTTGAGGGGGTGATGGGTGTAAGGTCCTTGCCCATAGTCTGGATCACTCTGCGGCCCCACACCCAGAGTCCGGCACAGATGCCCACGCCTCCGTACAACAGCAGCCAAATTGGTGTAGGTTCATTTGAATACACATTGCTGCTTTTGTAAACACTCCACAGAGCAACCAGCGGTCCAATGGCATTACTGCAGAGGAAACAATATAATTATTTCAACAGGGATCATTATCTTTGACTTTTGAGATGAACCGTGACCAGTAAAAATGTCCACTTCAACACACCAGAAATACAAAGGTATCCTTTTTTTAGCTACATGACTGTTAACAAGTGACCTTCATGAAGGAATGTGCATACCTAACGTCGTTTCCCCCGTGGGCAAAGGATCCGAAGCAGGCGGTGAGAATCTGGAGGAACTGAAAGAGAGTTGAGACTTCTGGCTTATCCGCCTCAAGGCCATCGTCTTCCAGAGAGCTTTGGCTGCTGCCTGCGTCCTCCTTCGCCATTTCCAGTGTCACGTCCCCCTCTCCCAGGGCTTCGGGAGTGGTGTGCTCTGCCACAGCATTGCAGTAGCTGGTGTAACTGTCCATTCGCACGCGCTTCTTCTCCTGCCCTCCTGATGCCGTGACCTTGTCGCCATCCTCGTAGGCACGATATTCTCCCTCTCTGTGCTTGAAGTCTCCGTGCATGCCGATGATGGCCATGGTGTAGGAGGTGTAGCTGTTGTTACGGCGGATGGGTCGGTCCCCCCCCTCGCCCATGCAGTCCCCGACCTTGGCCAGGTGGAGTTTGTGCAGCAGGTCCTTGTAGAGGCCTGAGTCTTTGTGCACCGTGTGGTACTGGCTGTACCCGTTACTGGGGATCTGTGCCGGCCTGTTGTTGAACTGGTTAGCTGAATTTGCGGCGCCATTGCTGTGCTGGTTGTTGGCCTGACCGTTACACTGAACCGGTTTGTCTGCAGAAAGGGGGAGAAAACATTTGTAAGCCTTTAATATCATTTGTCTAGGACTGTGGAGAAAAACACATTATTTTATCATATGATATAGAATTGACCGTTCTCTTAAAGCTAAACTTAATGTTGTCCATTAAGTTTACATTCACCTCAACATGAGGCCAGAATGCCCAGCAGGGTTTTCCCTTTATGAGTCTTTGGAAGTTCCCACAAGATCATGCCATTCATTGTTTGGGTAATGTGGTTCAATATTTGAACGTTTTTAATAAAACAAATATTCCAAGGTTGTCCTTGCATTACAATTCCATCATTTTATCGGTAGTATAAAATTATAATAGAATTATCATTTATCCTGATTATTACTGCTATAATATATCAAAACAAAAGTAGTTCTTGTGACAGGCCTATGTGTAAGTCATTTCATAAGTTTATTAATGTAACAGAAAACATACATTACCACCACAAACCATGAGGTTACTTATTTAATTAAATCCTAAGTGTTTAAGTATGGTGCTTCTTGGCACACTTACCATCATTTTCATTGCTGCAGTCATTGTCATCAGAGTCTCCAATGTCAAACGCCACCCTGCGTTCCTTATTATTGTCAACATCGTCTGAATCTCCAAAGTCAAACGCCACCCTGCGGTCCTCAGAGGCGGCCTGGGGCTGAGCAGATGCGCTTTGATCGACAGGTGGAGTGGTAGTCGTGTCCGTGGCAGTCTGTTTCAGGATCGGACATGTGGCCTCCTTCGGCTCCCTCTTCTCCATCAGGGGGCTCTCAGAGGGACTGGAAGACTTGAGATCTCCTAGTAGGGGAGGGGTAATAGTGAGACGTTGCTTGAAACATATTCAGTGTACACTAGATATACTAGCACAGTCCATGTTGCATAACTAACGAGTAAAGAAAGAAATATTTTAAATGCAACCTAACCTCACAGGATCAGATAAATGGATCATGACATTACTAGGAACATATTTACACTACCGCTCACAGTTCAGCTTATGAAAGACAAGAGTCAACACAGCCAGTGGCTCACATAACAATGATGTGTTGTTTTAAAGTGAATCAGATACTAGGGATAATATTTGTATTTGATATTTCTCAGAGTTTTCTGACTAGGTGGCAACATTGCATCATCCAAACTGGTCAAAGCTGACGTGAAGCACTCAGTTACCTCCTGACTTCCACCCACGTGCACTGCAAAGGCCATGTCAACCCCAGGCCTATTTTAGTCAAGGAGCTAAAGGCCAATTAGTGGATCACTATGACCAGATTAGGCAGCCGGGCTGCAGGGTGGATGTTGATTTAGACTAACTTGTTTTAGAATTTGACGTTTATCTGATACTAAAAAGAGACATTAGAAAGGCAAGTATTGCATACAAATATTTAGAGATCAGTCTCTGACAATTTAATAATTTAGTAGAGAACCTTAACCATAGTTTTTTTTTAAATCAAGTTTTGAATGTTAAAAGTGTTTTGAAAACATTGCTAAAACCCTAGTTTTTGTCAGAAACAGCTATTCTGTTATTTGCCCTTGTATTGTTAATGCAGTTACAAATTGACAGACTTGTTATGAAGGGACCACTGAATACAAAGCACTGTATTGTTAACACACAAGACTGCATACATTCATAAAGGTTGAAATGAATGGCATTACCCTTCAACACTGAAACCACACAATGGGTGTGTGCGTGCAGATGGCTTCTGGGGGTTTTGCCTTTAATCCCGGTTTATGGAACAAAAGCTAATGACAATATTTTCCTCTGATTTCTATTAGATCGACGTTCCCGAGCACCATTTACCAGATGAATACGAGAACGCAGTGTGAATAGTTTGAGGTTGCAAGTGCCATCTTATATCCCTTGCTTGTCCAATGACGGTTAGGAAAACCATATTTTTTGTGGTCGGCGGAAAATGATGACAAGGATTTGAAAAACTGAATCATCAGGTACCAAAACATCAAAAACATAAATGTGACTTACGTTCAATCTTCTTCTTGAGGCGTGGGCAGACAATAAACCAGACCACAAGGGCCGTCAGCAAAGCGAAGCCCAAGGAGATGAGCAGGATGCCCCACCAAGGGATCTTGTCAAATCCCAACACTGAAGGATCGCCAGGTGCCAGGGACAGAATCAGACAGACACAAGAAGGAGAACAGAGAAAGGCAGTTTTAAAAAACAGGGCAGCGGGTGCTGCCTTTCTAGGACAACACACAAATAGGCTAAACAGGAAACTGAGCCATTTTATAAAAATATGTTGGTGGTATTTTTAGTAAGTAGCATAAAGACATGTTAGCATGAAAATATTCTTATTTAAAAACATGGCTGCCCCAATCAATTAGAATTACAGTGATATAGCAGAACTTCAATGAAATCTGACCAAGTGTCAACCTTTAGCTCTAGTTTTTACAAGCACGCCTGCATTGCGTCATTGTGCCACGTCCTAGTTAAATATGGAAAGCATGTGTACCCCCTGCTTTGAATAGTTATGCAACACTAAAAAGGTGAAAGACACAAATGTCCCCATGACCCCAAAATGCCCCACCAACACTGCACATGGAAAAGAAGTTCCTTAAAAGGCAACATTATTAAAAAAGGAGTAAAAGAAGGGGGAGTCCTTTACTGGACCTCTGAGTTTGCTGTAGCAATAAGGACACGCTCCTGCCAAGACTGCAGCAAAGCTGGTGCAGAAGAGCTGGATATAATGCAGCACATGCTGGGAAAAAGCAACAGTTTAAATGTCCCCAGGGAAGCATTCATCTTTGTCATACAGAGAAGATGCAAGTAGGCAGTGCAGCTCTGAGAGAACAAAAACAAAGATCTGCTGAAAATTTCAACAATACCAGCACCACCAGTGAGGTGACCTTGGCCATGCATATAACAACAAAAACACATTCTCTCTGAGTTTACGATAAACGGGAGTAAACAAGCACCAAGGCTAAGTGATAAGTGTCTCTGTGTTCCTTTGGGTCCACTCTCTGCACTGAGTCACGCTGCAGCACGAGACTGCAGAGCCCCTTACTGATGTTTATTTAGTTACGCAATGGAAGCCCACTGCCGTCAGGATTGGAGAGGAAAAAACCGGAAGGAGGCTCTGTAACAGCAGCTCTCGTCTTTCACTGAGCTCACATGTAGTGGGACACCCAATAACAGGTGGGATTTGTCACCACTTAGGAAAACTCAAAAGAAGTAAAAAAAAAACAACCTTCCACATGACATACGATACACAATTCAGATGAACACTCTTTGTCACAGTGACTTGTTTGTTCTAACAATACATATAAAAGAGCGGATTTAAAAGGCTAGCCTAGGTCTAGCCTTGTGATAAACCCTCCCACACAAAGGGGTGAGTCTACACCACAGCCATGCAGTGGGATGAATGAGATGGGACAGGACATTGACTTTAACCACGGCTGCGTCCAAACCCCTCCCATAAACCTCTGTATCCCGTGGCCTACATTACACAATAACATGTTTTGTTGCTTTTTCCACTACCATATGTGAATCAAGCAGCAAACCAAAATTACAAAGAGTTAAAGTGGCAGTTTCTGACTCACTTGGCAGGTAAACTTTAGTTACATTCGCTCACTTCTGTCTAGAGCCCCAAATAGAACTTAGCAACAGTATTAGGATACGGTTACAGCTGTATTAAGTCTTTGCTCTGGAGGGATCTATAAGCCCAGCTACACAATATCAATGACAGTTTGAGGACAATGGATCAGGTCAAAAATAAGTCTGGAATTCAAAAAGCTGTGTATCATCTCATGTTGCTGATTGTTTGGCGTCCCCAGAGAGACCAACACTACCGGGTGTTTGTTTTTCAGAGGGTAACCCAGGCAGAAAATGTGTTCCTAGCTGAACACATTGAGGCTTGTTTAGGGGGGGTCAAAATGTACTGTCTCCATGACACCGAGCACTTTGAAACATACAATGGTACGCAAAATAAATGGTGTTTAGAACGGCATGAAACAGGCCAGCAACATGGACAGAATTCAGGGACAACTTAGCTGATGGGGAACTGCATCTGAGATTATTTGTCAAAAGCTCTGACAAATACCTACAGTAGCCTTTAAGATTTCCTTCCTTGTTGTTACTTGTTCTTATATTTTGGAATGTCTTTTTCGAGTATCTCGCCCAGATAGTCAGTAGATGGAAGTGATTCTATAGCAACTTAGAAAGCCACCTTTTCTCTTTATCCAGGTGACAAGCATGTGGAAAATGTGTGTGGAGTAGGACCATTATCCTTAATCCGTTTATGTGGTAGATTTTCATTGTGAAATGAGTGACAGCACTTGATTGTGATTGAAGGTGTTAAAAGCCCAAGTCACACTAAGCTTCGTCTGTAACAGAGCAACAGCTGACCCTCAAATTCTTTGCTGGCCAAAATTGCATGCACATGCTGACTTGAGGTCTCTGGCACTGGTGTATATATTGAGTATAGAATGTGCTGTGGGATGCCTGGTGTCCAATCGCACCACTGTGATAAGATCTAGATCAGGGAAGCAAACATACTGTACTCAGCTGGGAGAAGAGATCACTGCTGCATTAGATTTCATATACCAGCAATATTGAGCCAGTGAAGTATACTATCCAGAACTGGGCTCAAGCAACTCAAGTCTGGTTTGGATGATAAACACAGATAAAAAATATATATAATTAAATGGATGGATACGTAATTAGCTGTAATTCATGCCTAGTCTTATTATTCATCATGCAGGAATCGATGGTTAATGTTAAACCGGCTCCACTGTAGTCTTGAGGCTTTAACAATGAGAATTGCTAAGGTGTCTGAAATGCAGTCTGGCACCTTTTTCTTTTTCATGTGAGGTACCCAGGTACAGGTCCTCATGTACAGTGCTTTGAGGTGTGAGGGACTTCACACAGCTGTACAGAATGTGCCTGGCTAAGCAGGGTTATGGGCTAAGCTGGAACTGCATCTCCTCTCTGTGAGCATGCCGCTGATGTGCATGCACACATCAGCGCACAATTTCTGGTCAAACTCTGGCCTGTAGCCGCCATTTAATGGCCCAGGCCAGCTAACATCTTGAACTGTTAGGCCCTGTAGAGAGAAGAAAACACAAGGAGCGAAAGTTGCTCGTTTAATGACGAGATTCTGGAAAACGAAATGCCAACATTTAATGAATTACTATACAAGTTGTGAGCAGTAATAAAACAACAATAGCCATTTAAAACACCCTCTTTACTTCTCTGTTCCTCCTTCATGAAGGGCAGACAGTGACGTCAACAGTAAAGTGAAATCTTATTTCCATCTCCCTGTTGTGCTCCGCTCTAAAACTTCATTCCAGCTATGACCCACATAGAACCACAAGCAGGAAAAGCCCCAAAAAACATGTTAAAATAAACACAGCTTCTGTGAAAATGGTAAACAGTCTGGTTCAGTCTGAAATAGCTGTGGGCATCCGGCTGTCTGAGGGAGCAGTTTATTTTAAGCTGTGGCTGTGGGCAGGCATGCAGAGCAAAATGACTGAAACAATGATACTCACTCGGAGCTCCAGTGTACATGATGGAGAAAACGTTGATTCCCATAGTCACGGCGTAAAACACAGGCAGGGCTCTCAATCCGTTAGGCACAGGGTCTTTCTAAAGGGACAAAACAAAGCACCATGTCAGAAAAACTCATTCCACTCGCATTAACAGAATTGCCAGACGTTTCTGTCAGGTTACAGTAATATGAATCTCGCTGTCATGATGTAGATAAGGAACTTCTTCAGAGAACAGTAGCTTGATTCTCACCATGCAACAAACATTTCCTCTTTTTCTTTTTGGCAGGGGGGAGTTGAAACTGACCCAAAAGCATCTCTCAGGAAGAATATCCTCTAACTCACAGAAACAAATACTATCTACAACTTAAAAAAAAAAAAGCCAGCTTACCTTGTGTAAGATGAACATTCGCACAAAGTAGAAAAGAACGGCTGACATTATTCCAGACAAGAGAGGACTCAGGAACCAGGAAGCAACTGCAATGCAAGAATGATAACAATTGCAATTAGGGGAAATGCAACAGTTTGACAATTCTGTCAAATAAATAAAAACATGTGCATATACTTAAAAAAGAACACTTTTTTCTTTAGGGGAATGCAATTCTCGTCGGGAAACGGATTCAGTTTTGTCGGGAAGACTGTTTTTCATCAGGTTTGGGCTTTCAATAGAGGAACATCGCGATGCAATCTATCATCTCATGCAACAAATGTGAGAAACAACTTGTGAAATTAGAGCTGCTACTGTATATTCCTGTAAAGCTTGTTGACTCATATTCTCAATTGGCTCATTCTTTAACAGGCATTGAGCATCAAACATTTAAAACCTAGACAGCAAAATGGTAACATTACATATTGTACAAGTGGTCATTTCAAATGTGCAATCCTTCCCAAATGTCTAATTCTTTGATTACCCAAGTATTGAAGGCCATCAGATAAAACATTGGCTGACATGTTATAATTGCAATTACTAGTCACACCGGGCCATAACATCAATATATTCTCTGACGTATATCAATTAATCACTGGGGGAAAGTAAGTGAGCGGATAAGAGTGTTTGACTTACCGATACGGAGAAGTTCAAGCCATCTGACTCCCTGCGAGCCTCTGGCAACAAGTGAGAAACCGATAGTAGCACCAACAATGCAGTGTGTTCCAGAGATGGGGAGTTTAAGGAAGGATGCAGCCAGCTGCCACACAGCAGAACCTAAAAGAGAAAACAATCATTGATCATATTAGGCGGACAAACTAACACATAATCAGTTTTTAGTCAACTTTAGAAATCAATTAAAAAGATAAACATAAATGCAATAGGTGGATATGGCAAAATACAATATGAATGTGTTTTGGTAAAACATTCAAAAATATTTGCAGTAAGCCGATTGATATAAATAATTTGTTGACAACTTTATTCAGACATTTTGCAAACAAAGAGCAATTAGTTTGATCCACATTTCCAGGTGTGGGTTTGACACACTCCAGTTGTGATAACCAAATGGCGCACAGCCTTATATTCCACACAGGTCTATTCATAGGGTTCAATGGCCGTAGGTTTAACTACACACAAGATATGCTGCAGGTACTCACCGAACATGGCGCTGATGGATCCAGCCATCAACTCCTGCTCAGTGCCGTTGTACATGCCAACATCGATGATACCCTTGCGGATGGTTTCACTCACTTTGGCCCCAAGGAGCACAGACCCCACAGTCTCAAACACAGTGGCCAGAATGCATGCCTGTCGCAAGGTGACCACTCCAGAGCCAACGGCTGTGCCAAATGAGTTGGCAACGTCATTGGCACCCACAGAAAACGCTAAGACGAAGGCGATGATGAAGCCCACAACCAGCAGCCATGTGTATTCTGTCAGATAAGTGGACTGGGTCGCTAGCCCCACTGTGCTCGCCAGTATTATTGCAGTGGCAGTAGTCGAAACCATGATTTTCGACTATAGAGAAATTGCTTCACAATCTTTAAATGGGAAATAATGCCTGTCGAAGCTATTTATATTGCTACTTAAAAACAGCAGCTAGTTTTAAATAAAAACAGAGGTAAATGGTTAATAAATATCTTATTTAGGCTTACTGGGATTTAGCAGTGCAAACTTGTAATGTATTTAACTGGTACTGACCAGAAAACGATTAAGGTAAACAGAGGTGTAGTGTGGGCGTATTGCTATCCTGTAATTAAACTAGATCTGTTCTTGTTCCTTTTGTGCTGAGATGTCACACAGATTAAAACTGCCATTGTGCAGCTTTAAGTGCAGATGAGCTTGGGTACATCCTGAAAAGACAAAAGACAAAAAAAGGCTGCTTTAAAATCTGTTATTTCTCATTCGACCTTCACGTGGAGGGTCATGAAGAAGCATACAAAACAAGACTGACACAACGGAGGAGAGAGTGGGGATCAGGGATGGTTTCAAACGGGTTAAACATCCCCTAGATAAGATAAAACATGTCAGAAACGTAGAAACAACAGTGGTAGACTCTAAGATCGGAAGGATGCCTTTCCTGGAAACCTAATGAGAAGCCATTTTTTGTAAATGTCGCAGGAAGAAACCGGAGCTTAGATTACCCCAACGTCCTCAATTTTAACCGATTTACCACCTGTATAACGATCTATTAAGTTTCATTTCTAGCACTGCTGACTGTGGATGATATTACGAAGTAATGAGTGCCTTATTTAATAGGGGACATGATATTAGTGTTTGCGTGCACGTGCCGTCATTCATTCATAGAACACAACCCTGAACACGAGCATCTGTTCATACCGCTTCACGTGACAAACAGCTCGAATATACGATATCTTAAATTAATGTAAAAAGGCAGTTATGTCTACTATAATGGATAAGGTATCACAGTTTCAATAATTTTTGACGTATTTTTTTTTTGTAAAAAGGGGATGCAACCGGATGTGACTCAACGACATTCGCTGATGTGTGTTGGTTGTAACCTTTTTTAAAGCTTTAACATAAAATAGTTTCTATTTCCTTCATCCCGTTACCTAGGTTCGAGACATCAATGTTGACACGGAAGCAAACACTATAATCTATCCTAAAACAAGCTGTTAAACCTACAATACCGGTAGCCGTGTCTCCCCCTTCGCTTATACTAAAAACTCCTTGGTTAGCATTGAGTACACAATGGTGTATCTGACCAGCTGGTGTTAGCATTAGCTTTGAGCCTACATTTAACGGTGATAGCCTTATTTCCGGAGTTCAATGAAAAAACACAGGCAACACTGTACATTATATCTTCTGATAGAAGGTGTGAGTTACAAAAACTTACCAAACGTAGCAGTTGTCAGGGTTGCGGAGAGCAGTGCTCGTTAGCCAGTAAGCTAATTAGCGCGCCCGCACAGATAGAGTCGTTACGGTAGCGCGCGCGGGATAACGGATAAATAAACGGATTTGAAGAAGACCCCTTTCGAAAAGACGACTTTCTCTAAAAAAGAAAAAGGTAATAAAGAGTCAACGTCAAAAAGCTAATTACGATACGATGTGAGATAACTCCAAATCCAGAACCGTCTATGATTGAATGAGGGCGCACAGCCGCGTGTAGAACTTGTTCGTGCCGGGGAGCGGAACCGACTTCTTTATTGGATACACCCTCGGGACGCCCCGCCCCGCGCCCAGCTGTCAGCCGGCCCCTTTATTTTTTTTAGGCTCATCACGAGTCCAGTGTATGTTCGTCAGAGGATCCCACATCAGAATATTTTCTTAAAGGTAAAATGGGACGAAAGATAAAACTTCAGAATGAGGATATTTATATAAGCTTTAACTGTGATGGATTTGATCAAATGTTGTTTATTGTATACAACTCGTTTGTTTATTTTCACATGCACAAGAATAAATTGATTGACTCTAAACCACATTTTGCATATTTTTTATTACGGCACTATTGTTATTAAAAAGGTTAAAATCAAGCAGGCAATCAAAAGTAAATGAGTATTCGATAAATATTTGTACTTGAATGTTACCTTTTTTTAATTATTATAATTTTCTTTACATTTCTTTCTTTATATTTGTTTCTTTACTTTTTTATTATTATTATTTGTACTCTGTATGTGTACCTGTTTACCCCCGATGTCAATGTTTTGTGTGTATTTAAAGTTTGATGTACATATATATATTTTCTTGAAAATAGTAGAAAAAAAAAAGCATCAGACATCGTCTTGTTATATCACCGTTTGACAAGTACTTTACTTTACATTTAATGTGAATACTACTCTTAAGTACAATTTTGAGTTGCTCGTACCTTTTATTTTCATGTTGCTTTATTATACAACTGTATTACACTTTTTGCGAGGGGAAGATCATGTACTTTGTAAAGTTTGTAGGCTTCTGCTCTGCACACATCCTATTCAAAGATAGCTACTTTGCATAACAGGTTATACTAAACATATGCTGATGCTATAAAATGCACTATATTAATAAGGTTAATCGACCAAACAGTATTTAAAGTTGGTTGCTTCAATCTAAATGCTACCTGCACATTAATGCATAACTACAACTCAAAAAATACAATCATTAGATCATGTAACATATCTCTGTCTGTCTGTCTGTCTGTCTGTCTGTCTGTCAGTGTCTCTCCTTACCCATTACATGTTCAGGCGACCTGCATTTAAAACTCAACCTTGTAGCACATGACAGACAAAAAACACATAGCCCTAACCACTGCTTTTCCATCCGAGGCAAACAATGTCCCGTCAAAACAGTGCAGGAAAACACCCGGTGGTGGGGATGTTGACTGCATTACAGAGGACTTGTCATTCATTCAAGTTCATTCGACTGGAAATCATAACACATTCACCCTCAAACAAAAGACGTTTTCTTTAGTGATGTTCTTTTATTGTGTTCAAGAGAGACATAATATGTTGAATGGAAGAAGAATTGCTCAATAAGCACAGCAAAACATGTTTAGATGACTTATAGTTTAGCCAAAATCGTTGTTGCATGACAAAACAACCTCAACTGTTAGAACTCACTAAACATAACACAATGAAACATGTATTTACATTAATAATAATGCTGCAATAAAAGCACATATAATTGTTATTTTGATTTCGTCCTTACTCCCTCATTATCTATCCCAACTTGACGTCACTAATTTGAGGATCATGGAACATTTCCTCATTCTAAATCCATTGAGCAATGGTTAGGGCTGGGTCGGCAATGATCACTGGTAATTTATCATACGATTCTTATGCTGGAGCCTGAAGGCAGCATTTCACAAAGGAAGGAGTGGCGCTCACATCTGTTTTATAACTCGTCGATCGGTGAAAAATAACAAAGAAAAATCGAATTTGTAACTTCAAAATATGTACTTTTTACGTTTTAATTTGTTTATGTCTTTAGAGAGATATACAAGTTACTGACAGTTATAGTACACCTGTTTTCTACTTCCTCGCTATAGCCAAACAAGTGACCTCGACTTAATAAAAGATTAGATAGGAGGATTGTCAATGTCAATAAAGAGAAAAACAGCAACATTCAAGTTAACTTGTGTTTGTGTTTGTAGCTTTCACTCCAACAGTCAATAACAGGCTTTATCATCGACCTCCTTCAAGCGTAGGACTACTCGACTTTACGATGTGAAGTAAACAAATGTGTTTACGTTGTGCTCATTAGTCAAATGTTGTACTGCAGCCTAGGTTTTCTAACTTTTTATAGTAGTCAGAATATAATCGATATGTCGGTTGCTTCTGTTGTTTTTATTGTTAAGACAAAAAAGAAAAAGGCACATGCTGTGTTTGCACGAGGTAAACAAATATCTAGTAATGGTCTTATGGTACTTATGGTAAATCCCTCACTCCTTTCATGGGAAAGACATGGTCCGATAAATCGAAACACATTAGACACTTCCATTGATATCTGGGCAGCCTGAGTGGTGTCCAATGCAATGCAATATTTTATAAAAATCATTGAGGCCAGTGCTCAGATGTACAATTAAAAAATATATTTGTTGATAACATTTTTACTTTTGATGAAATAACTATTTCTTTGATCAGTTATGGACTCTGTTGATATATTGACACCTATAGTTTTATGTATGATTAAACGGCGCCATCTGCCGTATATTACTATAATAACATACAATACATAACATAAATTGGTGTTTTGTCCTTATCCTTTTATAAGGTGATTCGATGCGCTTTTGTTATAATGTTTAACTACCCCTCCCCCTACCCCAAATACATCGACTTAAACAAATAAAATATCCAGTCACTAACTATATTGCAAACAAAACAGTAATATTAACATTTTACAAATGTCACAGATCATTGTTGCTGAAGTTATTAACAATTTAATTTCATCTTGAAAAGTTGAAATGAAATGTATAAATCTAAAACTTTCCCCCCCCAATGAGATCGGAAATATATATCCAGCCAATAACATGTGTTTTGTATTTGTTTTATGTGTTTTATCACAAATGTGTGGTTGTTGTCTTTTGAAATTGTTCATGCTAACTAATCTTTAAACTCATGAAGTCATTGCCTTGTACTTGTAACCACATGAGCACCCTGTGATGTGACTTTGAGTACGCACCTCTGGAGGGCGATACTATGCATAGACAAGCTTTCTCTACCTAGTCAGATTTCTGTAGATACTGATCCTGGATCAGGTTATACAAATACATGTCCTCATTCAGAATAGCGGTAAGACGCTAAATCTGATCCCAGTTAATCGAAGAAACTGGAAAGTGGGGGGTTTAGGTAAGGGGCTAGCGTACTTGCTTGTGCCCGAACAATTAATTTAAGACAGGCTCCCACTGGGACCAATCAGGATAGGCCTTGAAAAACAAACATCTCATGACCGGCCGCCGTACAGTTTGTAGGCGGGACTTCCGTGTGGGTGTGTTGGAGACTAGTAAAAGGAGGTCAAATGTTCTACAAGAGTTTGCAAGATTGAAGCTGTGCCCAGGAAAGATTTACAGGTAGACAATTGTGTTAATTACACTTGAAGATAAAATCTACACTGTCGTTATTAGAGAATCGATTCAGAAAGAGAGCGGTGTTGAGTGTGGTACTTGTAGACATTTGACTCATAACGTTAGCTAGCTTGATGCTAAAGACACATGACGCGTGCTCGTGGACATCTCCTTAACTAACGTTAAAACCAGAGTCAAATTATGACTTTTGCTGGACATGAATCCGTGTTTTTATCCGTATAAAGGTTATGCGTTGTGCATCTCAACATACCCTTTATCATTAGCTGAGAAGTTTGTTAGCTAGCTGCTGCACTTTGCTGAAACTAATTTGTTTTTGGAAACTTGTGTCACGGTAACGCTGCTGGCATGTTTCACTCTATGCCCCGTCGCCCGATCTGTGAGATCGGTGTAACTACATTAAAGCTTCAAAGTGGCAGGACATTCAGGAGAACAGTCGAGGAGGGTAGAGGAAAGCTTGAGAGTCTCCCATGGCTGGATAGGCGCATGGGCCTGCTGCTGTCCTGGCTGCAGAGGGCAGGTGTCGGTGCCAGTGAGGCTGCTGGATCCGTACAGAAGAGAAAGGGCCTGCTCTCCATATTTGCCGATCACTGCGGCTTTGTAACCGGACAGAGGCTCCGGCGTTCGTGCCAGATCGGAGAGCTTTATTCTAACCTGTACTCCGAGCGGACCAGGTGGACTCTGGTTGGTAACCTGTGGCGCAGATTTCAGAGCAAGAATGCACCCAGTGGGAAGCTGTTCGCGGCCCTGGCTGGTATATTCATGTGGGATAGTGAGAAGATTCAAGATGAAGACATTCACAGGTTTGTAATTATACATCAATTAATATTTAGAAAATGGCAAGAAAACCTTTAAAAGACATTCAGCTTCTGAACAGATGTCAGTGAAAAAGGAAGTCCTGTTAATATATGCTATTGTTTTCACATTATAAACATCTTAATCCAGTTTAAATTATTCCAAGAACAGACAATATTGTTTTCCTACCATTTGCATTTGAAATACAGCATTCCATAATAATGTCACTATAATCTGTATGGTTACCTGTGCCCTATGTTAAATAACCTGTCCTGTTGTTTGCATCAATTTGAAGGTGTGGACTTGAACTACAAGAAATAGAGTCTGTCAAATGTCAAAACACAGCTTCAGGGACAGCTTCCAGACTTGAACCTGGCTGGGAAGTTGTGATGGATAAAAAAGCCTTCAAAGTGTGGAAGCGACCCATACCTGACAGTCACCTCTACGAATACAGAGGTCAGCCAACTCACAATCTCACATATGTAGCCAGGCTCTCTGGAACGCAGATAATAAAAGCACACATTTAACTCTGAGTTACTTTTGTGCTTGGAGGTTTTTCATGGTACTTTGGTGGTGGTGATATTGTTGGTCTGAAGTCGGCATGCTTTTTATTTATTTTTTAACAGTGTTGGGCTCCTACAACGATGTCACCCCAAGGCAGTTCTTCAATGTACAGGTACAAACTTTTCAAATGTTGATATGTGCTACTATGAATGTTTCTTCTTTAATTAATACAAAACATATGTTCAAAAGACTACTTATTCTACTGAGATGCTGGCTTATAATCAGAAAAACACCTGGAGCCAGGAGGGATCAGCAATCTTAATCTCTTATCAGGGTTTTGGGTTTGCTTCAATCTCCTCCCTTATGAATTCTGACTGATGAACCGTGTATTACTGAAGTAAAAGGCAACTGGGAATGTTTGTCATTTTGTTAAAGCAATTCATATATACAGCATTGGGACTTTTAATTGTTCATGGGTTATGTTTATGGTATGTATATTGCAGCCTGTTTTAGATTTCTATTTTCCAGCTACTATTGCTCAACCAGCATGTTTGCACTGCAGGACAAAAGCAACCGTAAATCTCGCTCTGTGTGCTATATTAAGCACCCAACCCTTGACTTATGCTTTCCCCTTTCCCCCAGTTGGATACAGAGTACAGGAAGACGTGGGACGCACTGGTTATCAAGCTGGAAGTGGTGGACAGAGATGTCTCTACAGGCTCTGAAGTTGTGCACTGGGCTACACACTTTCCTGTGAGTTTTTCCCGGCAATTTGTCCTTCATGATGTGTTAACATACCACATCGGTTGCGCCACTTATGTGACAGACAAGAAGAGTATGTGACAGACAAGAATAGTACATTCTAATGTGTAACATTTAATGTGGAGAAAGAGATCCTGTATGGGTTGATTGTGCGTTGATCTGTTGGTAATGCCTCGGGGTTCCGGTGGGCATGTAAACAAATGCATAATGCTGCCCAATACTTTGCGGCCTCACCCGGTTGCATAGCAACGCTTATTGTTTAGGTGTCTTGATAAGCAGGTAGTCATATCATTAGCTAGAACTAGCTAGATCTGATCTGGACATAAACGCGAGTGAAGTCTAATCTGACGGGAGAGAGAGAGAGATCAACTGCTGCTGACGAGTCGACACGCAGCTCTGCATGACCACCTGCAGCGGTGAGCCGAGCAAAACACGCACTTCAGGTTAGAATATCACACGTAGCTATTGAATTACCTCTCAAACTACCTAAACTAGTTATAAATATGTTTATTTTTACTGTCGGGTCACTCATTACTGATCCGCGAGCTGCATGATACTGACGGGCTGTCAGGAGAGGGAGAGAGCGCTCTGTTTATAATTTCCTTGTTATTATAAGTTACTGTACACTTTTGAATAATGCAGTTCATCTACTATAATTAGTTTGTTTAATATTGAATCATATCAATTTGTTTTAAAGCTCAATAAATAACAAAGAAGACCTTTGACCGGCACTTTTCTAATTTTGTCCGGAAGATTTAAACTTTAACGGACATGTTGACCGGCGAACTGAAACTCTGCTGCACTCTGCTC